TTATCTACCAGGTTTCCGAAGACGCATCGTTGAACTTTTTTTATTATTTCAAAGTTATTCAAAACATCCCTCCAAGACCCAATAATGTTCCCATGATACCCTTTTCACCATTTTATTCAATGGCCGGGAAAGATACGCACACATCATTTTTAAATTTTCCAGTTTTTCAACGCCTAATTTGAATAATATTCCCCAATATTATTTACACAGATTTGAGGGGAGAGAAGGGAGAATAGACGTATCTCAATGTACTTACTAGTGTTTCAAGGCATTTTAATAATTTTACAATTTATACTTGTTTTTATGATCAAATCCAGTTTATTCAATTAGTATAGAGTCATTTATAAAAATTGTCTGAGTATAACAAATATTATACGTCTATCTTTACTTCAAATATTACATTAATTTTATATTTTATATGTATAACCGTTGTTAATAACTATTATCCTTAGTATATTAGTTTAATAAGTCATAACTAAGAAACCAGTAGTTCAAGTTTCGATTTAAATCCCTTAAAATTTCCAAAAAAAAATCAGGTGCCTAATAATTTACTGCAATTACTTAATTAGTATACTTTTCATTTGAAAAAATTAATTCGTACCAAAACAGGACTCAAATAATAGGTAAACAATTCTAAGCGTCAGAACATGATGTATTTAATAAGTATATTGAAAATTTTCAAAAAATAGAATTATAATGAATGCATTATTAAAGGATAAAATGGGAGGGGGTAGGCGAGGTGAATACTTAATGAATCCCCCTGTACAGTGTACAATGTACCTGCAGTGTAGTAGTATAACTCCAATTATAAATAATAGTACCAAGGTTGTCACGCAAACAGTTTTCAAAATTCGCACACATATTTTATAATAAGATCTTAGTACTGTACCTATATACAACTCAGATGCGTGCTTGTCAACGTTTCGTTTACTGAAAAATAAATCCGGATATAAGTGAAAAACAAATCTTCGGTACAATATCCTGCTTACTGTATATATCATACAAGATTATTCTTCGGGATGAGCATCAGGGTGAATGATATTATATAAATATGCTCATATTGTAATTATATATATAAATTTAATTAAAATATAAATATATAAATATGACAATACACTTTAATTATTTTGTATTATATTGTGTTCGACTTCGATGTCTATTAGGTAGTCATTGTTATGGCATTATATGTCAGTAAAAAATAATAAACATGTCACAAGTAATAATGTTTAACTAATCGTGCATTATATTATGATTAACATTTTTTTGGAGGGTAACATTTATTTATAATACATCGTACGTATTTAAATATATAGGTATCTATATTATAGCTATTATGAATAAATATCATTTTTATCCCGTGTGTGTATGTAACAAATTCGACATTATACTAAAACCAGATATTTGGAGAGGGTCAAGTACGAGTCACCCTGGACATGGCCGTCGTGGCACTGAGTCAATTTATAGTGGCAATAAACTACATATATTTTTGAAAATTATGACGAAACAATAGCTGGTAAAGTTTTTATATGACAACTATATTTTATATATCATATATTGTATGCTGCAATCGAGATTGGTATATGTCAATTCGACATACAAAAATATAACACTGAAATTTTAAAAAGCGTCTAATGGAAATTAAATCAATATTACATAATATACTAGTATACTAGTCCACAAATAAATGTCTACTATTTTTAAATTATTTTTTTCATTTTTAAATATTTAATAATGTTTCATAGGTACTTACTATTGTAATATGTACAGTCGTTCAGTGCCGTTGCATGGAACCAGGAAGGTCATTGGTAGATATTAGGCACATTATCAGTGATACCAAATATTTAGACAACATTAATTGAAAAATTTTCAATTAAAAATAAAATGCATGTACAAATTAATGTACAATTTTATTTATAATTTGTCCGGAAAATTATAAGGTAGTATATGTACTTTCCACTATATATTTGTACAGTTATATTATTGTGGCTAACAATCAACGTGATAAGTGATAGTAATAATAAAAAAAATGATAACTGAATATAAAAAATATTATTTTTAGTATTAATTGCAGACGCATTGATTTTAAACTGGTGAAGTCTGTGATGAATTGTTTTGTCATTTGTTTTATATTATATTCACAGAAATATTATGTAGGTATCTAAATCCTCGTTTAAATCAATACAAGATTTTTACGTATTATTATTTTATACATACATAATAGGTGAATGTAGAGTTTTGGTAGTTAAATTATTTAGATAGTTAGATGATTTACAAGTAGGTACCCGTATATAATAAACATTTTAATTACCTACCTATTTCCATGAGTGCACTGCATTGGGCATTGGCACTAAACAACACGTCATTGTTACAATAATTCATTCTTCATGATAAAATATGATATTCGTCCAAAATGTATTGCTAAATGAATTACCTAATATAAAAATGATAATTTATTTTAATATATATTATAATTATGTTAAAATAATAATTAGCTAATCGTATGAGTTTTAGGTATTCATAGAACAGTCGCCTGTCGGCACTATATTATATAAATTAAGTCTGGAGGGTGCTAAAATATTATTGATCCATAGAAAAAATCGAAAATTTTCAAAATCAGCAAACAACCGCCAAACCTTAAATATTGCATAAATAAACCTTTTCAGATCATTGAAACGTTATTTTATTTAATGGATGTATTTTGAAAATAACAAGGACTTTTGGGTTATTTATTTTTATTAGAGATTACAATCATATAGTATTCAAAAAGATATGACGCACCACAAAATTGTTGAAATATACAGTGAGTTCTGTTTTATAGGTAACGATCACTAACTATGTATAAATTAATAATAGTACCCAGAGCCATTTATCGGAATTAGAAATCATTTTTGTGAAATCCAGACAAGAAAACAACCTTGAAACTACAGAATCTGCATCTAGTAAATAAAATCAAAAAATATGGTCTACATTCTGCCCACCAATGTCCACAAACGAATATGCGACCACATTTAAGCGGAAACATTCAATATTTGTTCTATTAGCGGAAATCACAGACATATTGTGACGTAAGGACCAAATTTACTATCGACGTTATCGAGTCTAGTTGAAGTCTAAGTTGAAAGTGCTACGGGTGTAGAAAATTTATAGATATTTAAATATTCAAATAACAGTGAAACGTCATCGCCCATCGGTAAAACCGGTATAATATTTTGAGGTGAAAGATCTATGTATGGTATAATCTCAAAGATGTTGTCGAATGTCGATCTACCTCGGTAAATATATTGATCATCGCCACAATTTAAGATATACCTGCTCACCATAGAAATAAGTAGAGCTAGAGCTCTCAGTGTACTATGTACATAATTATACATATATATATATATATTATTTCAAAATAAAAAAATTAATATATCTATTATGAAAATGAGGTGACACAACAACTGCTACGTACTACTTCTTCGATATTTTATTGTTACTGCTATACGTATACAACTATCTCGAATATCATTTATGTTATGAATATCAACTACAACGATATTAAATTGTACAGTGAACCACGGCTGCTACGATAGGTATTAATTATTATCGAAGAATATAATAATAATAAATAATGTTGTATAACTTGTATAGCTGTCTGGATAAAATAGGTAGTAGGTACATTGCAGAAGTGTTCAACATTGTCCTTAACTATATTTTAATTCCATTCATCGCTGCTGAAAGTGATTGTGCACAATTCAAAACTGGTTGTATAACCCCGCCGCAATCAAACAAATCCACCCTTGTTAGATTCAATCGAATGTGTAAAATAATCACATTAACGTTATTGTTTTAAATAAGATTAACCTACCATATTATTATGTAATAATGATGATAAATCTTTGTATAAGTTATTAAGATAAAAATGAAAAATTCTTTAATTAGTATAGCCCTATAGCCATATAGGTACCTAATATTAATAACTAATTGTAAATATAAAGATTATCACACTTGGAGTTGCAACTGATGACATCTTAAAAGTTCACTCAATATTTAATAGTATTGAAAAATATTAGAAAATGTTATAGACAACTTCTTATACATTCAGCATTATTAGCTTTGTCGTTATATTAGTAGTAAATTATCGTTGGTGGTAGTAACCCACATAGTAGTAGCATGGAAAATTCTCTCACGCACTAAAACATTATCCCTGGACCCCAAAATTGCTATGCAGGGTTCTGATAGTAACGAGAAATTTATTAAAGAATACTTTTAGCTTATAATTATAATATACCTAATGCTGAAGATTTAAGAACGGTGAAATTGTGTAATATGTACCTATATAGGTACAAATCATAGCTAATAATAATAATTGGTTTTAAGTGTTTTAACGGTATTTTAATCATTTATTCTTGTGCACTACATAAAAAGTTTCTCATTGCACAGTGCACATTGTATAATAAGAACCTCCATTTACATTCCAATACTATACTAACAGTAGTTTTACTATAATTTATAAATTATAAATATTATTTAAAATAAATTTGTACGTAAATATTAAAATATGTGCTTCCACGCATAATTTTGAAATTCGGAATTGAGTTATGTAAATAAAATCAATTGTATTATAATATAACCACTTAACGACAGTGTCCATGTCTTATTAATGCTTCTTAAAACGTTCACTTTCAGTATTGAACTTAAAGTAAAGTCAACGACAATCGTCTTCAAATTACAAATGACTAAAAACCGCGAGTTAATTATCATTTATCACTAGGATTATCACGGATGCCGTAATGGTACTCTATGTGGCAAACGGATAGAAACTTGCGGAACAAACCGCTAGAAGCGCTGCGCGCGTGATAAGGAGGTCTACCCTGGGAAGCTCTCGTCGTGATAGCCGCTCGGTCATCAGGACTCGGCTGTAACAGCTGTGCTTCCACGGATCACAATCAGCAGAGCTGAGCAGCTGACTGACGGACGACCTAATTAAAAGACCGAAATCGAATATCGAACCAAAACCAAAAAAAAAGAAAGAAATTGGAGAGCTGCCTCACAGGTCACAGCTGCTGCAGCGTCGCAACAACATCAAATAAACTAAAAATATAATAGTGCCTATGCAATATTTATAATTATTTTAATTAATATAAAAAAGAACACACGTCGTCTTACGACAGTTTTCGTTTTTTTTTGGCAACCGCATGCCTAACCACCGACCAAACGCTCTAGGACAACAACTACTATAAATAATAATAATACGAGTATTATCATCTCGTCCGCGTTATCATCGTCGTTTATATTATTGTTTTTCTCTAAGCCGTTCCCCGTTCGCGGTCGGCGAGTTCGCACTACGATACTACGTTCTACTGATTACTGGGTAGCTTGCTGCACTCGCGGCGATGCTTATCCTTTACATGTTATACCAAGATCGTATACTTGCCAGGGTGATCATTCTTTTGCTACTACTGATGCTCACAATTTTCATTGACTTTTATGTGAGCCACCGCAGTCAAAACTTCTTCAAGTCATTGAACAAGAAATACAACCTCATCAAAAGTTAAACGCCACACTACCATGGACACGACGCCGACGACGTCTTCCGAGGTACCCGCTGGCTTATATACTTACAAAAATATTGTCTCATTTTGGGAGAGGTACTGTAGTGTTTACCGTCGCTCTCACGACCCCCCTCCCCCATATTATTCTGCAATGTTGTTTATTAATTATTTTGCAGGACGACGCTAAAGTGTTGTTCCGCAAGGGAGTTGACTATGAACGTGAGGGTTCCCACTATGAGGCTACGCGTTGCTACAAGCAAGCGCTGAAGTTAGACCCTGATGTTGAGAAAAAAATTGCAGATGAAGAATTTGTTTCACGCTCTATGGATACAACTGGTGAGAAGTGTAACTTAAATATTTGTGGAATGGACTTAACATGTTTACTTTTTACCAGATGAAAATAATATATCCAATGATTCAAGCGAAGATGAATATGATAACAAAGAAGACCTTTTCTTGAGATTTCAGAGAATAATGGGACCTATAATATGCCTTCCAGCACGTGCACAACTGGTATAACAATATCCAACTCTTAAAATATTTGATTGCTTATTGTTATTTTATTTTTGTTCTAGACCACTCATTTTTCAGCTCTTCCTCCTGAGCTTGTTATATACATATTTAGGTGGGTTGTATCTTATGATCTTGATCTACGGATGTTAGAACAGTGTGCAGCTGTTTGTCGTGGTTGGTACTTGTGTGCCAGAGATCCCGAATTATGGCGTCGAGCATGCTCCAAGTAAATTAATTTAATAAGCATTTAAATTATTTTTTAAAAACGATACTTGCATATTATTGCCCCGTCAATGAGGTGCCCATTCGTAGTACTACAATATTTTTTATAATGAAATATTGTTACAAAGTTTTCATTTAAAAATAAATAACAATAATAAATAATTTACAGTCAATAGAAGAATATTTAATAATTAAATTGTTATCTTAAAATTAGGTGGTGCGTGTAAAAAAATAGAACCATTTTATTGAGATCCTTAATATTTTAACACATTATATTTGTTTAAGAGTGTAGTTTTGTAGTAATAGTTGAATGCCAATACTATATGTTACAGAAATAAATCATTAAAATAAATTTTTAACATTTTTTTTTATAATAGACTAATAACATTTGTAAGATAAGTTAGGGACCAAACTTTAAACTAAACATACCTATAATTACCTAACAACAAGTCTACAACATACTAACATGATAAAAATAGAATTTCAAATATGTAAGTAGAAATTACTTTTTTCCATAATTAGATCACTTACTAGTGTACTGAACTAACCAAAAAGAAAAATATTATTGAAATATCAATATTTTAAATAAGATTATGTAAAGACTGCAGATCGATTACTGATGTAAGGTCGCCTGAAGGCAGGTTGATAAATTCTATACTGCTTGGTGAAGGGGTGATAATAACAAACAAGTACCTTAAACTGTTAAAACATTAATATTATTATACTTTAATTTCTTGATATTTACTGTATTAAGTTTAATTATTTTGAGTTATTCTAAATTGTTGAGTTTAATAATATGACATTCTCAAAAACAAAACTAACTTATCTAATTGTAGTTGAAATTGTGCAAAGATATTTTAATGAATTGTAAAATTCTATGGCTTAGTTCAATTACCTTCATTAAATTTAAGAAAATACATTTTTATTTTTATTCCAATATTGACTTTAACAGTTTATCTTGATAAAAATTATTTTTTATTTTTTATACTTTGCAAATTTGTGAAATTCATTGTGTGAAGTATCCAGTTATTTTTATTTATTTTTTATAATTTATTAAATTGAATAAGAAAATATTTCAGTTTTAATTTATTATATAAATATACATGAAATTTGTATGTGTGTTTATTTTTATTTGCGTAATTGGGTATAAGTATTTTTTTTTTTTAGATTTTGGCCTTCAAATGTCAACGACTTAGTCCCTTATGACGGAAATTGGCGACAAATGTTCATAGAACGACCTAATGTACTTACCATTGGTTGTTATATATGTAAGATAACTTATGTACGAAGAGGTGAAGAATCTTTCAGAGACAACACTAATGGACCTTCTTTTCAAGTTGTTTATTACAGATACTTAAGGTGATAATGATAAAGTGATTAAGTTTCTTTATTTACATAAAAATAAATGGCACAATAAAAATTTTAAATATAAAAACTTCATACTAATTAGAATAACTAAAATACTATCAATTACACTCATTTTATTTGTCCTAAGTGTGAATTAATACATTTCCAGACAATATTTAGTAACTAACTTGAATTCAGAATTTTAGTAATACTATTTAAACATTTCAATCATAATTGTGATTTAATATGATGTTACAATACTAAATTTATCAAATCTTGTTAGTTTTTGATTTTTTTTATGTATGACAACTAAAAAAACTTAAAGATTTAAAAATAGTAATTTTAATTAAAGCATTTATAAATCTTGGTCACTAGTCAGACTATTTAAAGGAATATATGATTGGCCCACTAATTATTAATCCGTATTAAAAAGTGATTTGCCCAATATCTGAATTTATTTGTTTTTTATTAAAATATCATGAATCAAGTTTTTCAACACATAATTTTACAAATTGTGTGATATTTTGTGTTTTGTATTAGGTTTTTTTCCGATGGTCGTGTTTTGATGGTGCTATCTTACAATCCTCCATATAAAATAGTACGAAAGTTAAAGACAAGAGAGAAGGCACCTTTCAATGTGTCCCCTGGACACTATAGATTGTGTGGTACACAATTATTTTTGACTCTCGACAGTCAAGATAAGGAACGTGACCGAGAATTTAACAGAAAATATAACTGGGAAGACAACACTGAAAGGAAGACTACTTATAACATGGTATGGTATTAATTTTTTAAAATAAATAAAATTCTTACTTTCTTTCTTCTGATAATATTAATAAATTTTTTTCTTTATCTAGGTTTTAGAAATTTCAAAATACAAATCCAAACACAACTGGAAATTGCAATGTATTGATTATGAAATAGTTTATCAAAGCCGAGTTAACAAAGTAAAGGTTACCAAGTACGATTTAACTAATAATCGTTTTCCACCGTTTATATTTTCACGCGTTAAATGCTATTCAAATGAATCTGAGCGTATACTATAAGTATAAAATAATAAGCTCTACAAATATTTGAGGCTGTTTAAATAATGTTTGTTTTCTATAGTTTAATATATTATTGTGTTTAATTATTTACCGTGTATGTACTGTGTTTAAGAGTATAAATTAAATTTAAATTCTGTACTGATCAGCGGCCTGTGATTTCTTCAAAACAATTTAATTTTGTTATCTTTAATGTTATCTATGATTACACTAAACAATGTGTAATTAATTATTTATTTTATAAAAATATATATACTTATTATGTGTTAAGTGAAGTACAACCTAACTTATACAACATCTAATATAAGGAAACATTTTTTCTGGTTAATATTACTTAATACATTTTTACCATTTTCAATGTATATGTTTTCGTAGAGGTAGCGAAAGCAAATGGTTTGCAAACTGATTCTATATGGTACAAAGTTAATACATTGCCAAAATGAAAATGTATTATCACAGGTACTAGTAGTACCAAAATGTTACACAAGTTGGTTAACGATAGTAGTAAACATTTTAGTTAACAGTTTTAATTATTGCTAAAACTATTCTAAGTTAACCATTTGCTCTTGATAGTACTGTGAGAATTGAAAACTTTCATAAGTAGCTTTTAGCTGTATGAACATCTCAATAATTCAAATCTATGTATGTGTATTTTAATAGTTATTTAACAAAAAAAACCCAGGAAGGTTGTACATTTCATTATAATATTATGTGTGTACCAATTTTTTTAACCGATTTAATGAATATGTATTAAATAATATTGAGTTTCTTTTGATGTTAAGCTATTTAATGTATTATTATCAATAGAATCAGTACATATTCCTCGATATTTGGATGGCGTATTATAATTCATAACGCTTATTATCTTTTATTGTTAAGGTACTATGTCATTCTGTGGTAATATTATATATCTTTTGATGTGTTATTAACATGCTACTATTATACCTAAGCCCCGTGTGTTTAATGTAATAATATCTTTTGCTCTACAGTAAAACTGTATAGCACATGTATTGATGTATTTTTTTTTAAGTGTAAGTGCCCATAAAGAATGTAATATTGTTTTAATTATTAATACATTATTTATATTATACACTAAATACATCTTTGACTGAAGTAAAAAAAGAAGATAAAGTCTTAAATTTATTTCTAATGGTTGGATTAAGCATTTGTAAAATAGATAAAATGAAAATATCCATGACTAGCTAAGCAATTGATATAAAAGTAAATAATTTTTAAGGCAAGCAGTGATTTCGTTTTTATAGCTCAATGTCTTGTACCCCTAACTCTTGAAAACTGTTAATTTTAAATGATTTATATTTTTGGTTTTTTAATGTACCTATGCCAAACATAACTTGGTAATTTCTAATCTATCTGGAAGTTATCCGGAGTTAGATAACAAGAATTATTTAATCATCTATAGTCATGATTTAAAATTTGCGAAATATTTAGATAAATAGTCAATAATCAATATCAATATGTATAAGTTGACACCTAAATTAGGCGTGCATACCTCTAAGCTGAGTTAATTACTGATTTTCAGTATTATTATACGTAGATACGAGGTACCTAATAATAATCTAATACCAATATATCGTTTCTACCTTAGCCACATATTAAAGAATACAAATTTTTGGAAAGATAAATGTGATGAAGAAAATGTAAAGTAATAAATGAATTACGATAGTAATAATAAATTACAATAACAATACTTATTTCGATGGTTTTATGTTAATAAAAAATAATGAATTATGTTTGCCAACAATTTTGTAGGCATTTATACTAACATTTTTTTTTTTTAGAAGGGGCTCTTTATAATACCAATTTCAGTGTAAAAAGAGATAGTTGAAAAAAAAATTATTTAGCTCTTGTAAATTAAATTTTTAACAATTATTCAATTCAAAGTATTAATGCATTTACTGAACTTTAGAGTACCATAATTCATAAGCTAGTGAACCAAAATTGATAATTTGACTATCAAAATGTTCAAAAAAAAAAAAAAGATTTAGCGGAATCAATAAAAAAATATCGTTACTACCATTTAATAAAATTAGGTTAATTTTGCTATAGGTACAACTGAGTGTTCATACATTTTGAAATTGTTATGAAAAAATTGCTTCTTAAAAAAATAAAGAAACTGTTTTTGTTTTTCAAAGTCCCATTTCATCGATCCATAATCGTTAAAAAAATCGTGCATACAATGACATAATATACACCCTAACAATCAGAAATTACATAATACCAATTTATAATTTTAGTAATTGTCTTAAGAGATTTTTTAACAGATATAGTCGCATGGACATACTCAGTAGGTACCTACAATATTGCAATCAAAACCGGATATATTATAGGAAAGGCCAAAATTATTATTAATAGCGTCATTGAGTCATTTCAAAATATGAGAACAGATAATGCATTTTCAGATTTATTGAATTATAGTTAAAACGTAAATTCAAATAGATAATAATTTTAATAATTTTATAGGTACCTATAGGTAATCCATGTGTCCTTTTAAATAAAATTTATATTCATAATTCTATTAATATATATATATATATATATATTTATTTAAAATAATATTAACTAAATACCGTCGAGAACATGTATCAAAAAATCACTGTGGTAATCATGTTAAAGAAAAAGACATTAGTCTTGCAATAGCAAATAACCCTTTAAGTGCGGCTCAACTGTCAACTGAATTGTCAACGAAAAACTCAAATATACGTAGGTATTAATACGTATTTGTTATAAACTTATAATTTGTAACATTGAAATAGTATTGTTGTTCTGAGATGGTATGAAACTTTTTTCTTCTTTTTTTTTCCGGTTTTGCGGGAACTACTGCTGCTGTTGCATTGCTTCCGCGGCGCCGCCATCTAGTATGATACACATACCCGGGTAACCCATTTAAAATCAAAATAAATGTAGTAGGTATGTGATTGTAGAAACAAAAACTTGATGGTTTAAGCTTTGTAAACAAATTTTTTTAGAATGTATTTGTGCATAAATTGAAGTCGTCACAAATATTATGTAACGCCGACCCTGATTGCGTATAATAATATGGCGGAATAAACCCGTCCGACTATTTATTAATCCAGCAAAGGGCATTGATCTTTTCTGGATATAATTTTTAAACGTGACGTTCCAAATCTAAACAATTATTACCCATATTTACGGTTTATACACAGCATTAACCATGTGAGGGGAAATGGTCGAGGCAGCGAAGGTCCTACGTCATGTAAACGCTGGGAAGAAATAAAATAGCATTAACCGATACCAGTTTTTGCAGTATAGTACTGTAATAAATCAAATATAATATTACCTGTTCTTTAGATGTGTAAATGTTTTTTTTTTTTACTTTTAAAATAATACTACAATAAATATTTAAAAATTATATTACAAACTATGCCAATATGATAGTAAATTACGATTTTTCATTATGGTCTTTCATTATTCCTTTGTTGACCCTACACTAATCGTCAGACATCTCCCAAGGCTAAATATCTCGAATAATTGTAATCGCTTTTACACAATCTATCATATCAAAAAGGCAGCACCGTTAACGGAATTCTCTTGAAAAAACATAATATTCTATAACTTAACGTCCCGTGACCGGTGCAATAGAAAATAATATTATGCTGGCCTCGATGGTTGTATTTAACAATTAGGTAAAAATATTTTCTTTTTTTTTGCTTCATGAGCCGTTAACCATTTTTATAAATATCAAATAGTATATTTTGTTATTTTGAGTAAGTAGCTAAAAAAGCTACAAATTCCCAAACACCCAACAAAAAAATGCTCTAAAAACACTTTAAAAAAAAAAATATATAAATATAAAAAAAAAAATAAACTACCTATGTAATTACTTACATAATATATCAAATAGATCAAAATAATTTTAAAAGTTAAATCCCAGTTTATTAAAGAGCGACACTAATCTATAAATATAACACAATTTTCAATTAACAAATAGTGACATTTTTTAAAACAGCGAGTTTTAAATAAAAACAAATTATTATAATTTGTTATTAAATCAAATAAGTCTGTATGGATTTCTACAGTAACTTAAACCTTCGCTTTTTATAGTATTAATTTTATTAATTTTATGTTTTAATTTTTAAACTGTTACAGTTTCTACTAGAAGTTCTAAAAATAAAAAATAATAATAATAATATATCTGTACGGGTTATGTCATAACCATAAAATATACTTGAAATACGCTGCATATAAGAAGGAAAATGCAGAACAGATGCAGCCAAAATAACCTGTAAGCAATAATTGTAATAAGCGTATTATTGTAATGTAAAATCCGAAATTCAAAATCCTGCATACTTTCGATTTTTTGACAATGCTCTAGTCATGTTACTTAAGTCTTCGTGCAAAACGTGTTTCCTGATAGCGTGAACCGTACATTGCATATATGATTTCCAATCGAATTCTTCGAATCCGAACCAAAATGTCTTGCGATCCTCTTGACTTAGTAACGACCATAATTCTCGAGTATTGCTGTTGTCGAATTTCCATTCTCTGGTTGTAAACTCTTTAAGTAAATCAGTCATATTCTCTATTTTTTTGTACATTTTCAGCATTCTGAATTAACACATAAAATCGTAGTTAAGATTTTACTTACATATATTAACATTTTCAGTGATCGGGTATAGTTTTAAATATTATAAAATTGTAGATGATGAAAATGGTTTAAATACAAAAACCTATAGGTAATAAATCTGACTAAAATTATTATATCGTCAGAACCCTGAATATAATAAAAGTGACCAGTTAAATATCACATAATTATTGTATTAAAAATGAATGAGTAATTTTTTTATGCTAATTTAACTTAAATACTAGTATTAACAACTACACATTAAAGACTAAATGTGAGATATTATATAATAATTAATAAGGTAAGTATCTACACAACTATTTAGTATTTACTTTGGATTTTTCCCACGAATAATGAATGACAGATCGACAAGTGCGCCAGGTATTCGATGTAAAATAAATCTCGAAATTCTAACGACCCATCGATTGGCAGAAAATATACAAAACATATACCAAATTGATTCCAACGGAGGCACCTGGCGGTATGTTTCAAACGTGTATTGTAAGAACTTGTCCCAATTTATTGAGCTTTCAACACTAGACACGAAATTATAAATTTTTGGTACCTTATTCCTTTTGTTACCATCTCGATATCTATTGACGAATAGAATAAAACACAAATGATTACACAGCAAATGTACTTGTAACATGTAATTAATAATATCTTTAAGACTATACCTATTTACCGTATCCCACATAACACAAATTAGTGCATTGCTAGCGTAGTCAACTGGGACAATATCAGTTGTTTTATCCTTGGACAGTTGAACTGTTCTTAAAAATCCGACGATTAAAGGAGCAATCACACCAGATACTCCATTCATATTATTATCCAACCAACCTGGTTCTGGTTCAGATTTTGTGCACCCTACTACAATAGTACAATATCTTTGTTTAATATCTTCGATTACACATTTCGGGCGAAAAATGTAAAATACAAATACACAAGGCTAACTTAAAATACTTATTGATGTCTATAAAATATTGTAATATTATAGTCAGAAATAATTTATTTGAACCTGTTTTTCCATAAGTACTACCTCCTATAAGTATATTTGAAAGGCTTACTAATCGAAGGACGAAATATTGAGATTGGAAATTGATTTTCATTTGTTGATATTACATTTTCTATTAGTACTTTAGTGAAAGTGTATGTATTAGGCCAATCTACTGAAACGCTATATTTTCATAGAATATGCAAATTAAAAAACTTGGAAAAATTGTAATAGAAAGAAGAGAAAAATAAATATTTACTCGTGTATGTTTTCATCTCGTTTAATTAAATGTTTTAATTCTTTTGCTGATATTGAAACGGGATAGAATTGTTCGTTGATTTCACTTCTTGGACAATGCGAATAAGCGGTTGATACATGAACAAAACCCTGAAAATAATTTACACTATTAAACATTCTGTATTGCACTGATGATTGCATTGCAAATTACAGTGTGATATTTAATAATTATTCATATTATATTATAAAACTCATTATATCATTTATGAACCTACTATTTTCAACATTTTCTAAGATTTCTAAGAAATTACATAACAATTTAATTTTAATATTTTATACAATTTCCCTTATTTAGTTTACCCATCAATCCTATTAACCCTAAAATTAACTTAATTTAATTATTTTGTACTTTGAAATAATTGTATCTTAATTTTACCAAAATTATAATTTAAAAAAAGTTTTATTTACTTTTTATAAAACTTATGTCCAATGTAAAATAATTACACTGTATATTATAATCTTTATTATGAAAATATATAGTTTTTTATTTATTAATTGTTATTTTAAAAAAAAGTTTTAAAGATGTTATTATAATTTATTATTCAATGATATTTTGTATTACCTTAAGATTATTCATGTTTGTTGCAAGTTCTAATAGATTTTCTGTTCCTTGAATGTTTATTCTCGTTGCTATTGGAAGAGGTTCATTAAATTTGATGGTTGCAGCACAGTGAAAAACAAAATTCACATTTTCCATCAACCAATCACGATCTTTTGATGATAAACCTAGTAAGGGTTGTTCTAAATCGCCATCAATCGTTTTTATCTTAGTCATGAAGTCTGGCTTTTCGATTCGAAGGCGGTCAAACATCTTAAAAACACATATAAACTAATGTTGCGGATAGATGACAACAATACATTTACTTTTACTACAAAAGAGTCATGATAAATTAAAAAATAATATTTTGTTAAATGTATAGTTTCAAAATAATAATTTCTATTGTTATTTGTTATTAATTATTCTCTATACACAAATAATTTTCCATAATATTTAGACTAATAATTATTTTAAGCTATTATTTTATCAAATCACAACATTCTACAGTACTTTGCAATGGAATTGTCTTATGACTATTTTAAATTAGTGAAATAATAATATAAATGTAATTATACCTATTCTCTGTTCAAAATAAGATCATTACTCGGCGGCCGAGTTGTGCGCGTGTGATAATTATTGTTCCAAAGCACTACTCTTGCTTGTTGACTTGGTAGGAGAAGTGTCTAACAATGCGTCTGCCCGCCGCCTGGCGAAAACTTGATCACCGCCAGGTAATGATCTTATTTTAAAGAGAGTAGGTACATCGCAAAATATCTTTAGAAATAGAGGCTGATACTCAGTTTCTTCTCAAAATCATATTTCGTATACAATGATATATCCACTGAAGTACAATTTAACACATCAATTACATTTATGTACTCAATTATGGTGTGTACCTACTCAAAATCGAATATACAGCTGAGCTACTTCTACGGGTTCGTTATACAGTATACTATTAACTCAAATTTTAAGTACCTACTTAAGAGGATGCCAGTATACTATTTGTTTTCTCTCTCTGACCCACGTTTGAAACATAGCAAATTTACGTTTAGAAGAACGATATACTTCCAAAATCAAATATTGCTAATTTAAATCGATGACTATTTATTGTTGTCAGTCATCATCTTTTAGAGTAGTTAAAATAAAATCTCTTCAATCTTGAACTTTCGTGGGATTGTATTTAGTTGGTACTTTAAAAGGTCAAAAGTAAAAATTCCCATGACTTTTAAAAAAAAATTGGAAAATGGTAATTTATTAATTACAAAAAGAAGATATTAAACGGACGAGACATATACCGTCAGTCTTAATAGCAAACAAAGCAGGTTTTAATCAGAGGGGCACCTGTAGCCAATTGGCAGGAATATGATACAATTTTAGGAGAGAAAAAATTATCTCAGATAAAATGAACAAACAATTTAATTTTTGTTTTGAAAAAGAACATTATAATCTCCTAAATTATGAGCTGAACAAATAACAATGACGTTGATAACTATTTTAGTTTAAAATGTTAATATTATTTATGTTATCATATTATGTGAATGTAACTGATGTACTGTCTGACTGAATGTCACTGTACTATATTTTTACTAAACTTTAAAAATTTGAATATAATGTAATATTCAGTCAGTTATTTTATTGTCATAATATATACGAAATGGATCGTCAAATACATACATACAATAAATCAAAAAGATTAAAAATTATTCCATGTATGAAAATGTATAATACCTAAAACAGTTATTGGTAAAATATGATTTTTGGTTTAATTGAGATATGCTGAAATGTCGTACATTATATAAAAGTATAGAGTAAAATTATAGTATTAAAGTTAAGAATAATAAAAAAAAATTATTATTACTAAATTAATGTTCTTGATGATTATTACATAATAATATAAGTAAATATGTATACACTTTTTAATATGTACTTTTATGAGTACTTAATTTTCAATATATAGGTAATAGCTGTATTAAAAACGAACACGACATAAAAAAAATTGATATAACATTTTAAAATACATTATAGTGCCTAATAGATAACTATTAATACCATAGTTTCGTTATGTTGATGTATTGCATTGCATGTTTTTTAGTACTTTAATAATTTATATCAGTGGTCGTTAAATTTAGTTTGATTCTTATGAAGAGTTGCAAAAAAATTAATGGAACAATTAACGCCACTTAATAATGTTTAAAGGTATATTAGCTAATAGCTTGCTTAAAACATTAAATATTTAGTTATAACTAATATTGTTTATGCAAGCCAGATTTGTGTTAATTCAATGATTCAATAAAATTGAATGGACCAAATACGTGTCACTAAATCATGTTGAAGGGACCATTAGCTCTATTTTGATTCGTTAGATGTTTAATGATTGTTCATACGACCCAAAATTAGAGTATCAAATAATAAGAATTGATGTGTATTTTGTTATCTAAAACTATAGTTATTAATGTAGTTTTACGATAGGTAATGATTATAAAGCAAAATAAGCGCTGAAAAAGCACTTAAGTACTTCTCGCTATTTTCTTCTATATTATGGTTTAACAGCTAAATTGAGAAACATAAAATAAATTAACCTTAAAAAAACCAAAAACGTTTAGCCTTTTTGAATTTTTGAAAATATTTCAACTTCTTTGTTATACTTTTTAGATTTTCTGAAAAAATTTCTAAAAATCGATAAATCGAAAAAAAATTGATTAATTGATCAGTAGATATAATATGAGTTCCGGTGTTAATTACTCTTAAATATGTATACCTCTAGGTGAAAAATTACTTTTAGTTCTAGCTTTAACGCGAAAAACCAGAAATTCAATACCATTTCTAGGTTTTTGTCAACGGCGCGTGTCATCATAAATCATAGTTAAACATAAATATGCATAAAAGCAAAAATAATCAGAAAAACTGGAACATTTTTTTGAAAAATCTTTTAAAAAAGCAAAAAAGACACTTTCAAAAAATTTCATAAATGAACATAATTAAGCATGACATACACATCCAAAGCACTCTATTAGATTTTATGCTAAATCATAAAAATAAGCAAATGCTATAAGCCCCGAACCCTGGTAATGACTAATTAATAATGACATTAAACGAATTATTTTCTTCGTGATTAATATACACAATTTAATAAAATAAAATCAATTATATTCATTGCACATAATGTTTAATAATATAACTGCCAAAAAAAAAAATTAACTTACAGATTGATTGCAGATATCTGTTATCCTTTGACTTGAATTGAGTCCTTTCTTACTCCTAACAAGCAGTGCAATGTTTTTCAATGAGCAAGACCTGAGTAATTTTTCAGTGAGTATTTTCCCCAAAAACCCTGTACTTCCAGTGACAAAAACGGTCCTATCCCTAAACGATTCAGCTATGCTTGTTTCCATGTTGTTTAATTGTGTTGTAGCACAAGACTTTTATGATGTGTAGTTTAGTGAATTCGAACTTGAACTGGAATGAAAACTATAGTATTGAAACAAAAGTATTAGAAATATTATAGTTTTACATATTGTAGTTATTTTAGTATTTAAAACAGAATCTTGTAATTTGGTAGGAGTAAAATTTAGTTCAAAGAGGAAACGTATACAATATGTATATAATATTGATACAAATTTTAATTTAACATACATTTTATATCTTGCAATAGGTATACGATGCAAACACGACTCTCAAAATCCTCAACCCCACCAACCCAAAATAATAATAATAATAATGCATGATATTTTATTCAATGTTTTATAAATTACCATGATTGCCTTTTACATTTTTATCCCTTTGAATGTTTTACACTCAAAAGGTATCACTTTCTATGAATATTATAATTTTTACTATTTTATTAGGTATTTTTATAATTTAAAGTATCAAACAGTGTGAGCTCTCTCGACGTTACTTCAGTGAAATAACTTGGCTCGGCTCACAGGTTGCATAGTTTCCCTTAAGCCTATGATTTCCAACCTTTTTTTCTCCAGCAGATTACTTCAGGAAACAATATAATCTCCAAGTGATTCTCTATCCCCTAGACCAGTCGTTCTCAACCGGTGTGCCGCGAAAAATGTCATACATATGTAAGTGAGCGGCAAAATTGCCGAAGTTGTTATGGTTATCAAGTACGCGAGAGTGCCTCAAAAACTTGTGATATATTATAATAGTGTGCTGTGCACCAAAAAAGGTTGAGAACCACTGCTCTTGACACTTAATGTACAGCAGAGCGTTACCCTCATACCCGATTTTTTTTATTTAAAAAGTAGTATGTAACTACTTTAGATATTTTATCGGAAATGGATGCCCAGTAAATCCTTAAAAAGTCTCGAAACGTCATAAATAGTTGATAACAACCAAATAAACCTATTTTCTTGCATTTAATTTATTATTATAGAATCTTCGTGTAAATGTAAATGTGGAAAAATCTCATTAGCTGCATTGATTTTATACTTATTAAAAAATTAAGGCCCATACAGTTAAAAAAAAATTTTATACAAGGTTACTTATAATTTTTTATTATTAAAATTAAAAAAAGAAGTTTGGAGTATGTAGTTTAAAATAAGAATGGATAATCACGAGTAAAAAATGATTAGGTACTCGTCAGACGATTAAACTTTTTTTGATATAATTCAAAAGCGATCAGCCAAATATACTTTAAAATTAATGTTCATCAGATATTATACTATTTTCTATTCATGGTTTATAGATATTTGGCATTTTGTATTTCACAGGGTTCCTCTTAAGTTTTTATCATAGGTATTTAAAAATATTAAAAATATACACATACTACACAATTTTTTATAAACTTTTTAAGTTAACATTTTAACAAAATTCATCAAAATCACGAAAAATTGGAAAAAATTGAATGCATACAACCACATTTTTTTTGGTATAGATGTTAAATTAAAAATTTGGGTGAAATTAAATATTTAAAAGAAGAATAACGGTTTTAAAGTTATTTTTTTTAAAATTATTTTCTGTATTTAAAACTTTTAGATGTACTATGATATTTTAATTTTTTTACACGAGACTTTTAAACAATTTAGAATAATTATTGTATGCTTGTATAGCATTGAGTATTGACTACTTATACCTACATAATATATATTCATTCCGGTCTACGGTGAGTCATTAAGTAGGCTTGACTATAAAACTACTAACAATAATACATTATATAAATATATTATACACTATTAAAATAATTAAATATTAATAAATTATAAATATAGTAAATGTTTTCGGCAAAAATTAATTCAGCTTATAATATTTTTAATAGTAAAATACATTTCTATTGATAATAGCATTATATATTATAAAATATAGACACTTACTTAAAAAAGGCTAACAGACCGTCTTCGCAATCAGAATCGTTGTTCGTATGTCATGTTGTTGAATATTAAAACTTCTCTGCAGAAGGTGTGAAAAAAAAGGCGTAACTTTACATTCGGGCGTAACTCTCCGAGTTTAAAGTTCGGGTGAAATACTCCGCCGACAGTTCCGGTGAAATGCTCCGATACCAGTTGTGGGTTCGATCCCGGTCGGGGAAACCAGCTTTTTTGCATTTTTTTTCAAGGAGTTTCATTACGTCATCCACGAGGAATCTTAATAGGTAAGTTTTTATTACAATATAATAGTTATTACTGTACAATTTTATTTGTATGTGTTTGTAAATAGTAATTATACGGTTATATAATCGTCTGTGTGAAGTAGACAAGCGTCTAAAGGTTGAATTCGTGTTTTGTTTAATCAGTTTTGTATACAACATTTACATTTTTGGCGACACAAAAAATCCACGTCATAGACAACGTTATGTAACGCTGAACAAAACTAGTTCTGCAGCAAAATAATAATATTAAAACACAGTTATATCTTTAAAAAATAATAAAATGAGTTTTTTCCTTGGTACCATTATGCATCTCACCAGGAACCTGCTATACGATATAGATGAAGGTTATTATTTATAAGTAATAATTTATTACTTTAATCATAAAAAATAAAATGAGAAAAAACTCATTACTAGGGCAAGGATTTATATGCATTACCATATTTTGTATCCTATAGTCCAAGTATACATAGCCGTGTCGGTACTCGGTGGTCAGATAGTCCACGATTTGAATCACACTATAACGAGTGATGTGAATAGAATTGTTTTATTTTCATATTTTTGCATATTTAAAAAAAAAATGCATATGATTCTATGTTTGATTACATACAAATCTATCCCAACTTAATAATATTACAGTTCCAAATTATTAGTTACTTTTCCTCATTTTTAGTTGTACTCGACTATAGCCGTACTGTATCGTATTTTTCATAAACACGTTATGTTGATCGTCGTCATCATCCTACAACTTAGATCGTAGGTCTTACATAATATATACAACATACACACACTACGCTTTGTGTAGAGACGTGTATTCGCAATATTTAAAGAAGACACTTTTAAATGTCATCATTTTTTTTTCTCTAAACAATTCATTTAACTTTTACGAGAGAGGTAAGGGGCAGACGGCGGGAATAATCGTTTACCTTAGTCAGTTGGTACCTGCTGACAGATGACGACTTAATATATTTGATTTAAATATAGGATAAGTAATTTCCACAACACAATATTATTATCAGCATGGTTTTGTTAAAACTATACCATCGTATATAGCCAATTCCTTACAAACTTTACATGGTATTGAAGGACATCGTGTCCTTACGAAAAATAAGCAATAATTCCATTGGAAAGAATCATATCACAGACCACGTAGATTTTCACGATCACAACCTACCTTATTAAAATACTTGTATTATTAGTATAGTAGTTTTTTGATGTCATTAGGTTTACCAAGTGCAGGTGTAAACATTAACACATGCTATTACCAGGCTTATTAATATGCTCATCGAATATTATGAGAGTGCGTAAAGTGGAAGAACATATTTCAGCCGAAAAATAATTCAGCTTAAAAATAATAACGTAGACAAGTATATTAGGAAAACCTTATTTTACTCGACACTTATTTTATTCAAACCGTATTTTAGCCGATAAGTTCTTTTCAGTTATAAGTTATTTTTATAATCAAATCCAATAAGTTATGTCTCATCTAAAATCTCGTTTAAAATCTGATTTGTTTCAAATCAGAAAACAGTAAAATCGATACTGTGCAACAGTATAAAAACCGACAATTTATTTTTAATTAAAAATAGAAAAATTAATATAAGTGAAAATGAAAAGTTACTACCAGTTATAAGCCACAGTTAATTTATACTGATTGAGTATTGATTTTTTAACTTGTAGAACAATTTTTTAGTTTGACGGGGAGCAGAGTAAACCTTTCATAATATTGTACCTCCTGCGTTTCTGTACATGGGAATTTTACAGTTCAGTCTCAAGCATGGAATTATACTTATAAGTGAGTTCCGTCAGACAAAACAGCTACACAGTTGATATTGGATTTTACTTTTGTTATCCTATTTATGTCGTTTATATTACTATAACAATAAAGTACAGCGTAAGATGAAATGAATCTATATAATATTATATAAAATCCAAATTCCACTAAAACTACTCAAAGTACTAACTTGAAATTTGGAATAGTGGTTCCTCTAATACTTTTACTTTTAATTTGATAGTGACAACATTTACAAAAACCAGTTTTTATCGAATAATTATTTTGTTGTATAGAAACATCAGATTCGTTATTTGGAGATGAATTTACGTGTAATTAACAACGAAGGTCATGGTTCTCAAAAATAATTCGTTAAATAGAAAATTTCGTTAAATGAAAGTTCGTTATATGAAAGTTTCACTGTATTATAAATTGTTTGAACAATGTACGAACATCCGTTCATTAGCACATGACAGAAATAACCAGGTATATGATCACATAAAAATATCGAATACGGTTTTATGGTATGTTTTGCACAACACAATATGTGTTGTGTGCAAAGTGACGTCGACTGCGCGACACCATAATCGGGAACTTCAACGTATTTGTTGCGCATGTGACGCCAGCGTGTGGTAATATTTATTATTTACCGTGCCACGCGGCCAGCACATTCTTACATGCACCGCTGGCTCAACAATTTGAAACCATGCTTAAAAAATAATATTTGTACAAACTACAAATAGAGTAAAAAGAAGATATTTTGTATTGATTGATAATTTTTTCCCCTAAGTTTTTATGTACGCACCTCGCGGGTGGTCTACCTCAGGTAGATCGTCTACCAGAACATATAACACTCGCATAATCACAAGTGAGACTCAGGGGCAACGCCAGGCCAGGGTACGACACTCCGTGAATTGGTCGGATCGGGCGATTGTGGCCTTGAAAATTTACAAAAGTAAACGAAATCTGAATAATGAATACTAATTGGTTAACAAGCCGACCCCGCGCAGCGTACCCAGCCAACGTGGCAATAAAGGTTTACATAATACCACGTTGGGTCTAACATCATATTGGTAAACGTTTCCGTGTTTTTTGGAGGTTCAGACCTCAGATCATAGGTAAACTAGACCCCAATCAACTGATCGAGTGTCGCTTCCATATTGTTCTATGGACAGGCGGAATGGCTATAAATTAAAACATAATTTGATTACCCTTAAGGGGACATTACTTCTACAGCGAATCACACAAAAAAGGAATTGAACAAACACAATTTTTTTCCGGGCAACGCCGGGCAATTCAGCTAGTTTATTCATATAAATATAAAAGAGTGGAATAGTCAATCGTTGATACTCGGTTTCTGATAAGTGGCTTTAATAATACATTTATTTAAAAAAATAAAACTACACAATAATGCTTATGTATCTTATAAAGTTATAACCAACAGGTGCATAATGATTTCTTATTCTAATTTTTTTCAGCGGACGTATTGCGCAAAATAATTTAATTTCCTATTGAAAAATACATTTTGTATGATGTAGAATACATTATATAAATAACTTACTACAGGTTAATATGACTGACTAATTAAAATTAAAATAAACTTAAAGTTAAATAAAATAAAATAAAGATGTACATGCAGTAGTTATTCATTTCTTGTCCAAGTATCAGCTGTTTTGTTTCATGATCATAACGTATTAATATGGAGAAGTGTTATTAGTTCGTAATTCAAATGCGTATTTGGAGGTAGGTTCTATTTATATTTTAAACATCCAATACAAAAATTGTAGAATGAGATAAATAATAAGAACAATGCACAAATGATGCAACCAGAATAACCTAAAAAACATAAAAGACAATAAATGACCTATATAATAAATAACAAGTAAACAAAGTAACATATTAATTAAGCCATAAAACATAAAGGTATGCAACGTGTAGGAAAAAATAGGAATCAAAAGTCAATTTTCACAAGCTTAAACCACTAATACCAATACCAAAAATATTATAGAGAAAATATGAACGTAAGTACAGAAAAAGGTGAAAATATAGAGGGCACTCGTTCATCACTCGTTTACTCAATATGTACGGTAGTGCGGGGTAGTAAGGTAAGATATTATATAGATTCATTAGCATAGTCTAAATAGAAATTATATCAATATACAAAATTGTTTTTTTTTCATTAAGACAACTCGCATCACTGCTAGATGTATTCCCGCCACTTGTTATGCTGTTGTCATACACAGTTCTTGACTCTCGTCAAGTAGCTTAAGATCTAAGCCTTAAACCCAAATTACTCTTAATTTTCCTTAAGAGGTCCCATATGGGTTGTTTCCATCTTATGAATGTACAACCTAGCAAAACTGTTTTGCTTTGGACAACTGTACTCCCTTTGTATTTATGTTAGAATTATTACTAAAGTCCCACAACACATAAGGGAGAACTTTGTCCGTATCGTACCTTGTTTTATTATTTGGATAACATAAGTACAATTACAGTTATCAGTTTGACAACATCAGGTTTTTTCATTTAATTATCAACAATTATTGGTTATTGCCATCAAAAACATAAAAAGACAACGACACAGATAAATTCTTCCCTATGTGTTGTAAAATTTTGTTGATTCTACTATAAATAAAGAAGGAATAGAAATGTCCTGCGCAAACCGGTTTTTGCCATGTTATTCGACCGATACAACAAATGCGGGTGCAGTGTCCTCTTAAACTTGAGTTTTATTAAAACATTTTTAAACCCTAAGCATGTGGTTAAAAAAACCATTTTTATTTACATTTAAAACATATATAATGAGAATTGATTAGAGTTGGGTACTTGGGTTATGTTAGGTTAAACTCTTTTTGTCCATTAGAAATAAATATTTAATTAATTAACGTTATAAATTATAAGCACATTTTAATTGGAAAAGTTGATTTTTCCCGAACTATTTGAACTGTTCAAGAGTTTATACTTTTATTTTAACTTAATTATTACTCAAATCAAAGTTCAAAGTGTTTTAGAATCAATTTTAAATTAACTAATAAAAAATAATTTAAGACTTTACTTTCGATGTTTTGATACAGCCCTTTCTTTATTACTTAGGTCTTCGTGAAGTATATGTTTCCTGATCCCAAAATAATAGATTTCTATATATGTTTTCCAGTCAAATTCTTCAAAGCTGAACCAAAACGTGTCACGATCTTCTTTACTTAGAGACGACCACAGTTCTACAGTGTTTTTATTGTCAAATGACCACTGTCTAGTAGTAAATTCACGAAGCAAATCCAAGGCATTTTCTACTTTTGAATACGTTTTCAGCATTCTAAATAAGTATAAAAATGTGCTTTAAGATTCACATGAGTGCTTAACATTTGTTATTATGGTTACTAATTTACTATGCTAAAACAAGAATATGAAACAAAGCAACAAACTATATTGCAATTTTAAATTACATTGATTTGAATTCCGGAATAAACCTATAAAAATTATATTAAAACAATTAGAAAATCAAAACAATGAACCCTACCTATTTTCACAGTTGTTCCGGACATTTTTTTCTATAAGTATAGAACAGTATAATTTAACATATTCATAATCATATTCAAATCTTACATTGTAATTATTACAACAACATATTTTTAATTTTGACTTAATAACCCAAGATGACAAAAAATTTTTTTAAAAAATTAAAAAAAACGGAATATAGTAATTACCCATTGTTAATTTGTATTTAATACATTATACCTCAATTTATCCAAAACTGCAGAATAATTGACTGAGAGTAAATTTTTAAAACTTTATACTTAAAATACTTATAAGTAACCTAATAATTACTAAAAACTTACATGGGAGATTTACCGCTTAGAATTAACAACAAATCCATTAATACAGCCGGTATCTTGTGTAGCCAAAACCTCTGAATTGAGTAAACTAATGAATTGGTAGGGAAAATACAAAATAAATGCCACATCGATCGCAATGGAGGAATGTCTGAAAAACAGTGTCGTGTTTCTGTGTAATATCTACCCCATGTCACCGGGCTCTCAACACCAGAAACGTAATTATATATTTTTGGTACCGTATTCGTTTGATTGGAATGTCGATGTCTAAAAGTGATAAATTTTTTTAATATTTTTGTGAAAATTGTACGAAGAAAAAAGTATACCTGTTAACTGTATCCCACATAACACTGATCAATGCATTTGCTGCATAATCAACTGGAATAATATCAGCTATTTTACTTTTGTCAAGCTGTATCGTTCTTAAGAATCCAGATATGACGCCGGTAACTATACCAGATGGTCCATTAATATTATCCAACCAACCGGAATTAGGCTCTAACCTTGTGCAGCCAACTGAAAGATACGGTTTTTTGTATAGCAATTATTAAACATGTTTGTTTTAAATTTAGTTCAACAACATTGATTCAACATTTTAACCAAAATTACCTATATGTTTTTATTAAATACGGTTCACTCAACCAAGAAGTATAACAAATCATGAGGAGAAAATAATTTTAAATAATTCAATATCCCATGTTTTATGATTTACATCAAATAAAATATAGTACCAAAAGAACTTAAAATATTTAGTCATCGCACAAAAAAAAATTTTATATTCTCATAATTGTAAAAAAAATGTTGTCGTCGCACCTCTAAGAATCTAAAGTTCGTTCTTTTGAACAAAAGTACCACCAATTCAAAAACATTCATTAGTCAGGAATTCAAAAGCTGAGTTATTCAGAAAAATAACTAGGTAAGTATTTCTGAAAAGAATTTATTATAATTTATATATGAACAAGCTAACACCTACGTAATTTTCTTTCACAATCTAAACTAATATAAACCTGCTAGAACTATTTTGAATGAATTATATTAATATGTCTATACAATATATAACCATAAATGATTGAATAATATTTGTGATCTATTAATAATATTCCACACAAATAACATGGGTCACAATTATAAACAAAAAAAACGAACACAAATAAAAAAATGCATTTTAACATTCATATACTTTAATTTTAATCCAATTTTATGTTTTCAAATAAACTTACTAATTGATGGACGAAATATTGAAATCGGCAAATGATTTTCATTTCTCGATATCAAATTTTCTGCAATCGCTTTAGTAAACGTATATGTATTGGGCCAATTTTCTAAAATGCTATATTTACAAATGAAAAAAAAAGTCAAGAACTTAAAATTTGATTAACTATTTACAATTATTATATAATTTACTTTGGACATGCCATTTCGTCTTTGGACATATTTTTTAGTTCCTTGGCCGTAATTGGAGTGGGATAGAATTCTTCCTTAATTACATTCCTCGGACAATGTGAATAAGCGGTCGATACGTGTACAAAACCCTGCAACAATAATTATAATTAATTCACATGGGATTCCTCCCATGTTGGTATATCAGCTGTAAACGAAAAAGCAGTCTTAGTAGCAACTAGCAATTGAAATTAAGCCTCATTTCAACATTCCATGGAAATAAACCTAACCACATCCTCAGAAAGGTAAAATCCTACAAAAGAAGGAAATCTCTTACATAGGCTTAGTGTTAACCACAACAGAGACGGTGTAATTGGTACACAAGCTTTTATTAAAAATAATCAAAGATAAAAGTATCAACTTTTAGCAAAAATATGGTATAATAAGATAGTTAATATAGATAATAAGCATAGCTTTGAATCCTCAACGTATAATAATACATTAACACATATATGTATCAATTATATAACGTCATAATTACTATATATACACCTACTATATCGATGACTGCACAATTATTTGGTTTTTATGAACAAGAACCGTTTTTTTCCGTTATACAATACAGTATATTATACATTATTTACCTTAAGATTTTTCATCATCACTGCGAGTTTTATAATAGTATCTGTTCCTTGTATGTTTATTTTTGTTGCCATCTGAAGAGTTTCATTGAATTTGATGGTTGCAGCACAGTGAAAAACGAAATTCACATTTTCCATCAACCAATCACGATCTTTTGATGATAAGCCTAACGAGGGTTGTTCCAAATCTCCTTCAATAATTTTTATCTTAGTCATGAATTCAGGCTTTTCGATTCGAAGGCGCTCAAACATCTTAAAAATAAACAAACATAATACTGTGAGTATAATAATATGACCCACAGTAAATTTATACTTTTACTACGATAAACATGTATTTTATTATCGGGTAATAATTTAGCCTAATTAAAAGTGGTATAATTTTGTTTTTTGTTTGTGAACACGTAGCGATGTTTGTAGACTCGCTCGAAAAATATAATAAGCATATTTAAAAAAAAAAATTGAAAGTTCAAATGTTGGTAAAATTGGATACTTCAACAAAAATAATTATTTTCCCTCGTACAATATTAGATATTCTATTGTGATTTAAAAATATTATTTTTTGAAAATGTTAGTACTACGTATTTACGAATATGTTATTACTAATTATTTTTTTATAAACAATGAATTTTTATTAAAATGTATATAACATAGAATAATATTATGTGATTTTTTAATATATCGTCTCAATGAATTGATTATAGTTTAGTAGTGTAATATAATATGTAATATTTATTCATATTATGTTTTTGCTAGAAGTAGGTAGCTACACATTATTTACCGGCCTTGTTTTCTAGTTATTTCAGTAATTTTATCAATCATATCTCTATTGTCATTATTGATAATAAATTTAGTTTAATACTTAAACGAATTGCCTAAAAATTAATAAATAAGCTAAATTTTTACTAATTGTTCATTCATTCTAGCGTTAGTGTTTTAACATATCAGATAATAAGCATTTATGTCAATTTTTTTAATCTAAAACTTTATTAAAACTTCATTTTTTTTGATAGGAACCACTAATGACAACAAATTTTGTATAATATTAACGGAAATAAAACACCAAACGACACAGCCGTAGTTGATTTTTGAAATAATATTAAAACACACATTGACCCAAAACTACTTATAAATATATGCCTAAATCAAAGATTCTAACAAGAATGGAGACTAATAAAAAACAAGCTGAGAGAAATCAAATCAACCAACCGCCCACGGGTGCACTACATGTGTCTCACAGACATCAAATTATAATCAACAGAAGAAGAATTGGTCAATTTGGTCACCCCTCATACACTGACGAACATCTAACGAACAAAAAGGAACAATGTAAATTCACCTCATGTAACACCATGTTAAGTTTGAATTCAATGATACAAAATCATGGTATTCGGAAAACGATTATGAACGAAGACTATTCTGTAAGCCTGCAATATTACTTACTATATTTGATGACATTATTGTGATGAAAGTAATTTATTGTTCCATTAAGCATTATAGTACTACAGTAGGTTAAATACATTTTTGCCAAAAAAATTGCACTTGAAAAGTCATTGTGTGTTTAAACTAAAATAATATACTTTAAAGTTTAAAGTAGGTAAACATGAATAATATTTTTAAATTACAACAAAATAATTTATATCATTATTTAATATGTAATTCCGTCTAAATTTGAACATAAAATAAATTTAAAAAGCTGTGCTAGTATATTTTTTAAATTTACAGATTAAGAGAATTAACTATTTACATGCAATCTTGTTTGAAATTGTTAAAAATTAGCAATAAAAGTTGAACATTTTATAAATATATAACTAGAACATTTTAAATGCTAACTTTAAATGATTTAAAAATAAAATCGTGCCAACATTTTTTTAATATTTGTTAACTGATATCGGAAACAATGTATTAGGAGCCTTGTATTACATTTTTTACCCCAAAAAATACAATTTTATTGACATTTAAGAAAAAAATATTTTAAAATTTAAAATGTCACTAAACAGCTCAAAATAATTCAAAATATTTTAAAAATTTTATCAAGTATATGAAAAGATAAAATAATCATTTGGTGTGAATTTCAAGTATCTACAGTTATTTTTTTTAATTACAATAGAATAGTAAATCAGGAAATTCGTTCCATGAGAAATCGAGTGAGTATACAATGTTTGAACATTTAACTTCAAAGTTCGAATACTCATAAAACTTTTTAATTTGACTTTCCAGTAGACATTTTTTTTTTTTTGATAAAGGTTGACAAACTTATGAGGAATGTTGTATTAAATTTTAAAATATTTAATATAAAAAGAAAATTTTTTAATTTATAATTTGTTAATTTTAGTAATGTTTACGAATTTTGTCAAATTTCTAAATTGAAACCCTCATAAAAAATTACAGTTTATTTAAGCTCATTTTTTTTAAATTTTCACAGAGCAAACATTTTTTCATCGAAAAAATCGAGAAAAAAAATAATAGCTCAAAATGAGTGAAAATATTAAAAAAATTGTATGTTGTATAGAAAATGCTAATATACACACCCAATAAAAATTTCATGTATCTAAGATTATTTGTTTTCTAGTTTGCTCATAAGTTTATTTATATTTATCAAAACAAATGTCTACTGGAAAAAAAAATTAAATTTTTATGAGCGTTTATAGTTGAAATTTTTACAACATTGGGTATTTACATGATTTCACATGCAGTAATTTTCTTATTTAATTCTTATTCATTATTTTATTCTTATTTCCTTCACCCCATAAGTATTACTTTTGTGTAGTTTCTTAAACTCATGTAAGCTCACGTAAAAACACATAAACACCGCATATATGCCTGTTGTAAACTAACCTTACAGATTGTATATTTTCCAAATAAATGTTAAAAAAAAAAAAAGTTCTTATTCAAAAACAAACACTTTTTAGAGTTACACTGAAAACCGAAATCGATTTTGTCGAAAACCGATTTTGTGTATAAATTCCTGTTTTTCTTTAATTTTTTTTTTGTTTTTCGGGTGATTATAAAAACTAGGTACTTGAAATTTTAAATTCTGAACTCCCAAAAGTACCAACTAGATTCACTCTCTCACCGGAAAATATACTGAAGTTGTTAATTGAAGCATTATTTCAACAACTTTTCGTTTACATAGACACAATAAAATAAAATAATTAACTTAAAAATGTTTAAAAAACAAAACACATATCATTGTAAGATCAATGCATTAATTCAGCTCAGAATCTAAAATGTGATAATTTATTTATCATCGTTAAAAAATGTACAAGATGTAAAAAAAACTGTAAACAAAATTTAAAAATATGATGTCCTTATTAATTATTAGTACCATTATTAGTCTCGCTGTCAGTGCGTTGATTTTTAGTAAGATTAGTGTTTTAATACATCAAATAATAAGAATTGATTTGGTTTATTTTGTCTAAAACTATACTTTTTCGGTGGCAATGGCTTACGAGAAAAATATTTTTACCAATAAAACAGAATAAAATCAATTACAAACATACATAATATGTGATACTATAACACCCGTAGCAAAAATTAACTCACAGATTGATTGTAGATATCTGCAATCCTTTGACTTGAATCCATTCCTTTTTTACTTCTAATAAGAACTGCAATTTTTTTCAATGAACAAGATCTGAGTAATTTTTCAATCAGTATTTTCCCCAAAAATCCTGTACTTCCAGTAACAAAAACGATCCCATCTCTAAACGACTCAGCTATGTTTGTTTCCATATTGTTTGGTTTTCTTGTAGCACATGCGTGAACTTCTAATATGTGTAGTGTGGTGAATTTGAACTTGAACTGCAATGAAAACCAGTACAATAGGAACATTACAATAATCATACATATTATTAAGGGTTTATATAATTTGGTGGGAGTAATCTACAGTTCGTTTAGAGGTAAACGTGAAAATAACCGACCAATCGGATTAACTGGCATAAAAAATGCTTGTAGAAACGTCATGTAAATGGAAACATGGAACGGGATAGTTAGGTACCTGTAATCTCGATAGATGCATTTTTTTATATTAATAAGATAATTCAAACCACAAAAAATGTTAATTTCATTAATTTTATTTATTTAGTGAGTTTTTCAATTTTTTTTTTTAAACAGATTCAATTTTCATATAACTGTGCTTATGAATATAATTCGTAAAATCAGTAGTTGTGATGAAAAGTTTGAATTATAGATATATTTATTTGCTAACATTTATAGTAATTTGTTTTTCAATTAGTATCCCAATAGTTTGAATTATTGTTTAATAATAACATGGAATATCAGCATTTATATTACTAGCTCTTCCTCCCGGCGTTACATGTGTCAGGTTAGGTTAGGTTAGTTTATTTATCAAAGGTTTGATTATTTTATAAATATATTTGTTTTTTTTTTTTTTTATAAAAACAAAAACATTTTTCTTTTATCATAATCTTAAAAAAAAATCATGTTTGGGCTATTTTTTCAGCTGCCGATAGGAGTTGACAAGTTAAGCTATAAATACCCTTCAAGTCTCATTTAATCTAATGAGTAATGACATAACTCATACTGAAAATAATCCAGTAGTTTGATAGTCTATTAACTATAGACAGACAAATATCCTTATGTATATTATATAATCGAACTTGTCCAGACTGACAGATCAATGAAGAGCTTAAACGATATGTTTATACAAAATATAGCCCGACCAAAATGTCGCAACGAAAATATTGCGAAACCAGCATATCATAAAGAAATAATATTTCCGTACATTACTATTGAGACTGTAGATTGCGTTTAACTGTATGTTATCTTATCGTAACCACCTTTTACCTAACAATGAATTCTAGTATAATTCTGATTTTATAATTTGTAAATTGTTATGTTGTATGACTGATGCTTACGGAATACTTTTACAGTTTAACTGTTCTCATCGTCATGCATTTTTACATGCAATAATATATTTTTTTGAATGTTTCAAAACTGCAAAATGCAAAAATATAATAATAAATAAAAATAATAAAATAAACAATATGTTATAATACACAGCGGTTTCACTTTTGAGGAAGAAAAAGATAGTACTATTTTTAAGGTAAGAAAAATAATATTACTGTTTAAACCTAACATTTTGTGTTTATTTATTTACTCCTTTTTCATTTAAGTGAATTGCATTTGAGATTTGTATATTATACCTACAAGGTTATAATTATACATTTTAATTGAACTATTGAATATGTACATCGTGGTATGTATAATATTCGTAGGTTGCACGGCAAGACCTCGTACATTTATTACAATTATGTGACATATAACAGAAGCACACTGAGGCATTTTGAGAGCACGAATGCAGTTTAAATAATTACCTAACCACTCACCAGCTCTTTTTTTTTAATTTAAATGAAATATGTTTGCTTAATTTGTTTACTCAATTTGGTACACTCTTTTATAATCACTATAGAAATTGATTATATTATTGGCCATAGTTTAAACTATAAATTTCTAAGCTTCAATGTGATACCAGTAATTTACTGGGTGCGGTACTGCAGTACTGGAAGCAGCTGTCGGGGAACTAATATGAATGAAATAATAAAATTGCATTTTATATTTATTTACATTAATTAATATAGACAAATATTTTATTTTTACTACTTACATCAATTAGGTTACAATATTATGATACACATTTTTATCATTTTTTTTCAATACTACTGTACAGAGTGATTCACCAAGAGTACCATCCAACCCTTTTTTTTTATTAAGACAGTTATTCAAAATCTGTTCTTTAGAATTTTTAAATATATCAAAAACCATATATTAAAATCTTTGTGATTTTTTGTACCACTTGAAAAGTGTCATGTGACGATGCAAACTTTTATTTGTCAAAAGAGAACTATCTTTTTACTGTTAATTATTTAATGAATCTTTTTTATGAGCATTTTAATGTATCTAATCAAAATTCGAATGAGTAATAATTATTAAACATTTTATATTGAGAATTGATGGTTCACGTGTCTATGGTTATTCGTTTTGGAAAAAATACATAAAAATCTATTGTTGGAAATTTGTTAATATTTACCATTGAATATCAAATATAGTACAAATTTAAAATTCAAACAATCATACAACATTTATGTTTATTCAATTTATTTTCAGTAAGTTTCTTTTTGTTAAAAGTGGTAAAACTTTTGGGGAATATTCCAATCAAATATTTAGTTGGCTATGAAAAAAAAACTTATATGAATTTCCAACTGAAAAATAATTCGCAAATATTCAGAGATTTTGTCAAAATTTTCACTCCAAAAGCTTATAAAAAATAATCGTACTTATTTTGAATATTTTTGAACTGCTATTAAGACATCTGATGATTACTCATGTGTTAAAGTTTCACATATTTTTTGTGTACCTAAAAAAATTTTAACTACAGTCATTTTAAAAAAATTTACAAAATTCAGAGAATTTCTCATGACTATAAATACATTAAAGAGATTCAAAATATTTCGAAAAATATACCAAATATGGTAAATGGTATTATAAATATCATGGAAATTTGGTGAAAATTTCAGGGATCCACAGTTATTAATCATTATAGTTTTGAGTTACACCAAAAAAATATAATACAAATACCTACCATTTTTTAAATCTTTTTTTTGTTTTCCTAAAGCTCATTATAACAAATAAGAATTTTCAATTTTGACTTTCGACTTTTCAAAAGCACCAACTAGACTCACTTCTCTATCAGAAAAGATTGGCGATGTCGAAAAGCTGAACATTTTAAATAATTTTAACAAAATATTGATAAAAGACAGAAAAAATAAAATTAAAAACACACATCATTGTTAATATAATACAATAATTCGCTACGTTTAGAAACTAAACATATAAAATACATATAAAATGTTTACAGTAATTGATAATGAAGAACGCAAGTTAATTTTCTTGGCTAATTAAAAACATATATTATATTCCTCAGAACAACATTTTAATTATGTACTAATGAATGGAGTTTTCAAGTTTTAATTAAATTTTTTACTTTTAAATGATTTATTCAACTCTAAGGACATAACTAATTTAAACACTTACAGTACTAGTTTATTATTATTCATTGTTGTTGTTCTTGTAATGTTATTTGTTTATTTACTTTTTGTGTGTCTCTTGTTTTGATTTTCTTAGTTTATTTTTTGAACTTCAGATTTAAGTTGCTGCTCACATCGTAGAATTGTTTTCCTATCAAGTAACTGATTTAAAAATCATCGGTTATTCTTTGATCGTGCGGTTTAGAGTTTTTGTTTCTGATGTTCTTTGAGTTAATTTTATTGAATAGATTTTATTCCAAATTACTGAAATTATTGTTGACTTGTATTCTTCCCAAGTTTTTCTTTAATTTTGCTTTGATCTTATTTTTTTAGGGTAATTAAATCGATTAGTTGATAAGTTTTTCTGTACTTGTTGGGTGCTTTGTTTTATTGGTTTTTTTTTTTTTTAATTTTACATTCTTCGTTCCACTGTGTAATAGGTCGTTTTTTTCCGGAAAAAAAATGCTATATTTCATTGTTAGTAGAACCACTTGTTAAATAATTTGATTTAATTAATTTGAAATTAGTTAATTCTGTAAGTAAATTATGGTCATGAGTTTAAATTTTAACAGCATTTACACATATTATTCTAAGACATAGTCGAACAGTCGTGTTTGGTTTTACTACTACTAGATAAACGAGTGAATGTAATTGTAAATAATTAATTTTTCAAAGTATCACAAATGTATCGATTATCTTCGATTAAATTATTTTATGAAATACTCGATACATTGAATGAAAATGTATCGAGATGCAAGATACTCGATACTTTGTATAATTGTATCGTGATATAAGACACAAGATACAATTTTATCTATGAGATACTTATCTAATATACTACCCAAACTTGTGTGGAATTCATATATAGTTTATTTGTATAGCCAGTCCCATACGACTCGAGTACTTGGCGAGCATCGTGCATTTACAGACAACTGGTGGGAAACAACGAGTGACTGACGAGTAAAAATAATGGCCACACGTGACGATTAAGCATCTCCTTTATGACTCGCACAAAAGCATCTCGATTGACAATCATTCGCCGAGTACACGAGTCGTGTACCTACTTGTGTGCGACCGGCATTAGGTTAAGTGCTGTGACGTCGAATGCGAGATTTTTGAGTTTGAGGATCTGCAATGTTTGGTTTTATTTTTGATCCGATTCATTTCTTGCGAGTTGGACACCATTTATAGGAAGCTGTATGATCGCATAGAGCGCATTTAGGCGGTATGGTGATTTCCACCACATTTTACGCACCTGGGAGAGTGCCGAGTGATTGCAGTAATCACAGTGTTACAATATTCTTAACAAATATTGCACTGAGGGGATCATCAATTTTTACGTGTGGTTTTCGATTACCACAATAGTGTGGAGCAGAGTAGAGATATTAAATATTTCTTGATTATTGTCCTCAAGCTCCAGTTGGACGAAAAAAAGTGGTAAAAGCCGTTGGTTTTTTTTATATTCATCACGCATACGACCGAGTGCCCTAGCTCCGCTAGAGCATCTGAGATATCAGCTAAAATTGTAGACTGATGAAGGTTACTAATTAGTAATTACTACCATGAATTGGCACATGTAGTGAGGGCGGAATGTGTGAAATTCTGCGATGGTACTTTGGAACAATGTTGTTAAAATTGTGTGATTGTTGGAACAAATATTATTAAAAACGATGGTGTGAATTTACATAAAAAATTATTAATACCCGGGAGCTGTATTTTTTTTTTTTTTGTGAAATTCTGAAAAATGTCTGACGTTTTTTAAATAAAACAGCGGGAATGGACTATATTGTACGTTTTTGATTGGAGGTAGTATAATATCACATTCGACTATATTGTTATTGGATTGAATATATGTCCTACTCAATCTCACCGAGTGCCGTTCACAAAACAGCAAAACGGTTGGGTGAACTGAAGAAGTTTTGACTTTTTTTCCACATGTTGAAAAGAGCTGGAACGCAAAGACTAGTGCCATATTTATTGAAGGAGAAGATTGTGGAGATGACATAATAGCTGTACCCGATCACGGTGTAACGTGCCTATTTACGCATAACGATAAGGAGTGCGATAACACATGAGCATCCGCGATGGGCTACAACTTGTTTGCGCACACTTACCTTTTTTACAACTCGATTGAGCACATATATTTTGGCTACCTGTGGCGAAAATCCCTAGTATCAGAACTAGTTTGAACACACGTTTTCCTTCTCACTTTAACAGGCTTAGCCGCTTAAGACTGTCTGCTTCAAACAGGCTTAATTAAAAATGTGTGTGTTACATAACACGTCTTAACATCGTTACAGTATAAGTCAATATAAAAATATACTACGTTTAATAAAACGTATAATATTATCGATATAATTATTATCATTTTAAATGTATGATGGAATTTATTTCCAATATTTTTATAATATATATATTATAATATTTATTTTTTTTTATTTTGTACTGAGTTTATTTTTAAATCTGTTTCACTTTAGATTTGTATGAGGATATCAATGACTTGATATATGTGTGGATGTGGTGTATACAATTGGCTATTATAATGTTTATGGAAACTTTCTGCGCTATTCGTCAGTATTACCGTTTGATTCACAAGCATTTAAGTAATTGCAATTCTTTTTTATACTTAAATATAAATATGTTTTTATTGTCATCGAGAAAACAAAATGTATTACCTTGGTATTGAATGTCATTTTGAATGTTGATCAGTGGATTTCTTTCGTCTTCGAGATTTTGGTAAATTTAGATAGGGTTTTTTTCTGGTTTCATACATTGATCTTCGTAGCTATTTTCCATCATTATATTCGAAGTTTGTTGTAAAATGCTCTGTATTTCGTAACTCACGGAGTATTAATTTATTTGGTTTCATAAACAAATCGTTTTCTGCACTACGCTTAACGGTACTATTGATGAGTTCTCTCGTCATTGTTCGATTTATACAATTATGAGTGTTAGTTACGTTTATAATACTGTTCAATTGATTATCGATAACACTCGCAGGACATTTTTTATCACTACATCTAAAATTTGAATATCCACTCATTCAAACACGATATCAATGCATCACTGAACATCATCATAGTCAATATTTTTGAATAACATTTGCTAAGGGAATAATAATGGAGTGACCTAGCCATTTAAATTTGATTGACAATCATCACCGACTTAATAAATAATGAAACAAAAATTATCTTATATAAATATTTATAAGATAATTAATAACAATAAAGAATACTTCCTTAATAGAACTGGAACTGCATTTTTTTTAAGGGTAGTGTATTTATTATTTATACGTCTTAAGCTACTCTAATCAAAAGGATCAGAACAAATTCTGTGACAACTAACAAGGTTTTCTAATTGCAAAATTTCTTACGTTCGTAAAGTTGGCTTGACTTTTAATTTTTTGGTTTTATGGTGAAAGTTTGGACTTGCAAATTCTTAAAATAGACTCGCAAATAACTTGAAAAATATCGGCATAGATTTTGATAAAATTGCAAAACATTGGTGGGCAAACTTTACGGACTTAAATTTCTTTCCAATTATCCGATTGAATTGGATCTTTAGGAAATCTACAATAATAACGTGAAAATGTAATTATTAACAAACTAGTTTTATAGTGAGAGACAAAAACAAAATATATAATAAACTTTCTCATGAAATGTTTAATTTGGATTTTTGTTGGAACTTTTACGGCATGACAGCACAATAAAACCATTTTTATAAACTACCAAGTCAGGCAAGTACCAATGTTGTAAAAGAACGAATTATAAAAACTAGGTACTAAGTGTGAAAAACTAAAAACAGCATATCTATAAATACACTTTAATCATTTTAAAGACAGTTATTACCACATTCAAAATGTAAATAAATCTCCACAATTTCTTATCTATGTTGGACAGCAAAACTGACATATAATGAATTTGAAACTTCCTATCCATACCTTTATTTTCTATGGTGACGATATGTACACGTGTCAATGTGCGTGAATGTGTCGTTGCGCGTAAACGAAAAATATATTTTCAGATAAACGACTGATTTCGTTGTGAGCAATCGAGTCGTCGATTTTCAGGTAAAAAATTTTGAATGTGCTCAAACGAGTTGTAGCGCCCGAAATGGTAGCAGAAATGTTAAAACCATTATGTCGGTACTTTCGAAAATTGTTTATCATCGACGATGACCGATGGCGGAACGCAATATAGCTATAACACAGTAACACGCTTATACACTCGTCACTACACAAAAAACATAAAATTATATTAATTTATTTTCGTGATTTTATGCTACTCTAGTTAGTAGATGTATATTGTATATTGAATACGAAAATAATTGATGAACCCAATACATCATATACATAATTCAACCTATTTTTAGCAATTTGGGGGAGGGCGTGAGCCCCTTTCACCCTTCCCCCTTGGATCCGCACCTGATTCAACATCAAATTGTAGATTTGTAGATAATGTTCATGAGGTAAATTACAGTGATCCATTTGCTTTACTGTAGTGTGTTGGGCTGTCGCCATTTAATAAGAATATAAAGTCTATATCTAAGAGTTATTTCTATTTTTTCGCACTTACATTTGTGTATTCACAGACCCATAATGTGCCCTATTATGACTATTAAAATCACCAACAAATGATAGGAGTAATTGTTTTGTTATATTTGTTAGACGGTCTGCATCAAATTGAGTTGCGGTTCGGTGTATACATACAATACATAAGGTGAGTTTTTCTTTCAGGTGCATTGTCATTGGGGTTACTTCAAAAAAAGATGTTAGGTATGTCTAATATATTTTATATCAGGTAAGTTTGTCTACATAATACTATACTGGCTATTTTCTTTTAACGTTCTGTTTTTTTGTATGACGTACTGTATACTTTTTTAAAATTGATATGACGTAGTTTTTGTCCAAATTTGTTTCTTGTAAACATATAGTGGTAGGTAAGTATTCGTGTATAAGCCTCTTTAAGTCATCGATTTTTTATAATAACTGTTTATGCTCCACTATAGTATGATATATTTTGTACGATTTTGTATTTTAATTGATTTGCTTGAGATATATTTTGTTTTGTATGCATATTTGAAAAGAGATGGGCTCGTGTATATGTGCGATGAATCGTTATCAGACATTTCGTTGGGTTGATTGTTGGTAGTTTGAAATAAATCATTAGCTAATCGAGTTGATCGATTTTCATATTAATGATCTGTTATACTTTAATTAAGATATTATAGGCATCGACGTCAAACATTTCGCATACATCTGTTAGGTCTGCATTTTCTTGAGTATTAATTATAATATTCTTAAATTGTTCTAGATTTTTATTATTAATGGTTTTGTTTTCGAAATATATTTTGCATGGTTCTAAATATTCATCTAGGTTATTGATACATTTATTTGTTACAGCTGTGATCGTTTTGGATTTCTTAATAATTATATTTTTTTGTGTCTTTATTAGGATGTTGTCTTTTTTCATAGTCTTCACCGTTTGTGATGATATGTGGTGGGACTAAAATACAATTTGTTTTTTTATGTGGTGTTAATAATATGCGTTTTTTTTTTAATTTTCTGTTTCTGTTTTAAATATTTTAAGTATGTTGAGATAGATTCGGCGAGAAAGGTGATGAGGATGATGATGCTGCTCTCTTTTTGTTTTATCATTTTTTCGTCGTTAACCGTGTTATTGCAATGTTGTCCTATAGTGAAGTTGAACTGATTTAAATCGTTTTTAAATTCTTAATTATTTTCATCTGTATTTCCATTAGTTTATGTAATAAGTTGTACAGAGTGATGCATATTGTATATTTTATTAGAAATAGAATCTTGAAGAAATTCGTTTTTATATTTTTTTGTGGTTTCAGCAGGTTTTTTTGCAGATATATGTCTGGAAGTTTTACATATAAAACATACTACAGTGTTACGTTCACGAAATTGGTCACCCACCACCACCGATTTATTTAAAAGTCGTTTAAATAACTTGCAAATGTTTGAAAAAAATTTCCCTGCCCGTTAAAAAAAATATACAGGGGGCCAACTTCACACTGCCCCAACCCCTTTTTGTCCTATAGTTTTGAAAAATATACCAATATTTTGCTTATTAATTGCAAATAATTGCAAATTAGTTTTTAGAATTTGCTAATCAATATTTTTTTTTGGCCAATTTTACAAGTATTTTTGAATGCATAAAAAAGCTAGGTCGTTTAATACATGTAATACGAATAAAACAATTAGACTTAAGATTGTTTTAATCAACTTTTGTCTATTTTATTCAATTTGGATTATTTTTTATCGAATTTAGATTTTTTATTCAATTAATACTTTTAAATCGAATTAGATTTTCCCTGAAATTAGTTTTTTTTCTGAGACTAATTATTTTACTGGTGGGCGTTATGTTTCATTTACTCAGTTCATCGATGATTATTTCATGTGGTATTGGAGGGCAAAAATTAGAAATGATGATTCGTTTATCTGGGTTAAAATATTTTCTGATTTTTATTGGTATGTTGTTGCATAACATTGGTTCAATAAGATTAACAATTATTGTAGAATTTTTGTAGAATTTCTGGTAAAAAAAGAAATATATAGTAGCGATCTCTGTAAATGCGGGAAATAAATATGATGTCTGGCGAATCAACAATTTTGTCGAGAGCGAATATACGTAGACTTTTTGATTGATTTTATCTGTGTCGTCGAAAGGTAAGGCTTTGTCCATTTTTGGGAAATAAATATTTTCTATGGTTTTCGCAAATGATTTTGTTGAGGTATTTGTTTATTTTTCAATCAGCTGTACAGTTATACTGTGATGATGTGTTTTGAATATTGAAGGTATTATTTTTTTTTTAATGTTGATGGCAGTGAGGATGTAGCTGTTTTTGTAATTTTGTAGGTTTTTGGTTGGTGAGTTGAGAATTTATTAATTATGGTTAAAAGACCAGGGATTTTTTTTTCTTACTTGAACTGTGGTTAATTTAAATTATTTTATTGTGATGTACATACCTTTATTGGTCTGGTTTAACCGTATTTGATGTGTTATCGCGGAGCACTTTTAAAACTCAACTAATTACGACCGATTAGGTTGAACGGCAAACACAAACTATGAAATCTAATTAGCACAACATTAATTTATAATATTAAGTCGAAAAAAATATTATAATATACAATTACATTATAACAAAATAAAAAACACGTGTTTTTTTTCCATTACTATATAGATATAACTTATTAGTTTCTACTTAGTGTAACAATGTATTTTTTAATATAATAATTTTATTATGTTAAATATCTTGTAGCCTAGATATAGTATATATATATGCTCTAGTCCAAGGCAGTTTATGATCATTAAGAATAAAAAACCTACACATAAAAAATAATAGTATAAAATATAAAGTAAAAAGTTTGTATCAACTGAATTTTCAGCTGAATCTTCAACTCAACATAATTTATTACACACTCAACGCGTAAGATAAAACAAAAAAAAATTAAAATCAATTTTTTTTTTATACATTTTTCATACTCGTGTAAATTTTAATATCTTAATAATAGTAAAATCTAATAAATTTCATAATTTTTTGTGCAAAGTTTAGTAAACTGATTATGTAAATAGTTAAAACAGTAGCAGAATTTTTTAGGAAAATTAATGATGAAAGTGAGAGATCTTTACGAATCATGAAACACAGAATTCACATGAAAAAATTTATTTTGCATGAAAAAGAATATTTTAAGGGTTAGAGAATATTTAACACTTTAGGGAATATTTGAGAATATTTTGGTGATATAAGGCATATAATGAACATATTTCACGTATATCAGCACTTTGATAAATACATCGTTCACTAAATGATTTATTTCGGGTCTTTAATAAAAATTAATCTCCAAGTATTCCTTATCGATTTCGATAGCACATCGGTTATTTCGTTAGCTGTCACGACTATATATCCAACAATATATAGTTATTAATGGTTATTGGAAAATTAATTTAATTAAATATAATAAAAACCAAATTAATAAAAATAAATTTAACCTGAATTTTTTTTTCATATTAAAATAATATTTCGCATATTTAAGGACATAAGACATCTTATATCTAGTATTTTAAAAGAATATTAAGAGAATATATTGCCTATTTTATGTGACATAAAAACATCATATTTTAAGGATTTTAAGAGAATATAAATCCGACCTCTACTCATCACAAAATTTGAGAAAATATGAATTTGAGAAATAAAACAATTAATGATCTTACAAATTAAAATGACACCTATTATTTTACTATTCGACATTACTGTCCAACATTACTCAGTAGGAAAGTTCTAATTAATTATCCATCATATTGTCAATAATAATTTAAAAATTAAAATTTCTTACGCTACAATATTATTTTAATTTGAATCAGCTAATATGGATATATATATATTGTGTCTGTATTATTTTAATCTATTTTATATGTAAGCAAATTAATATTTTGACCTACTTAATGAGTTATTAGTACTAATACAAGTATATATTAATAATTTATGAGGATTTTGTTATCTAAAACTTACTACCTATACTTATCAATGCAGTTTTTAGATAAGTAATGGCTAATGAATAATAACACTAAACGAAGTATTTTCTACTTTATTACATGCAATATGATTAAATAAAATCAATTACTACTATCACATATAATGTATAACAATAAAACGGCCAAAAATTAACCTAGAGACTGATTGTAGATATCTGCTAGCCTTTAAGTTGAATCGAGCCCTTTCTTACTTCTAACAAAAGCATAATTTTCTTAAATAACAAGGTCTAAGTAATTTTATAGTGAGTATTTTCCTCAAAATCATGTACTTCCTGCAGTAACAAAAAAGGTCCCGTTCCCTTAAAGATTCAGCTGTGCTTGTTTCCATATTGCTTAGTTTCGTTGTAATATATGTGTGAACTTTTTAGATGTGTAGTTAAAATGTGAAATTTGAACTTGAACTGGAATGAAAACTAGTATAAGAGCACCAGTATTAGAAATATTATAGTTATTTTAGTATTTAAAAAAGAACCTTGTAATTAGGTTCAAGTAAAATTTAGTTCAAAGGTGAAACTTATAAATAATATTCACAAAATTATTAATTTATCATACATTGTATACAATGTATATCTTGCAACATACTATGCCTTCCCCCTTTGACGTTTCTTCAGTCCTTCAGCTGCTCCAGTTTCCTTGTCTTCAGTGGAATTAATTCGGTATATAAGCTCGGCTCACAGGTTGTTTACACACTGTTTAAGTGTCCTCCTGTGATGCCCAAACTTTTTTTTCTCCAGCAGACCACTCACGGAAACAATTTTCTTCAAGGGGGCCACAAAATTTAAAATTTTTTAAAAATATTTGGATAGTCAGAATTACCTATAATATACCTATACCGGCTAAATCTAGATCGGACTTGTTTTTCTTATCTTTAAATTTATTGACTAGGTATTCAAAAGATTTTGGCCGATTGGTAATTAGGCCGATTAGGGTATACTTTGATAGAAAATAAACAAGTTATAGTAATGTATAGTTATTCAATTGGATATAGTAATAATTTGATATAAAATTGGAAAATTTCTAATAAAAAAAAGGAATATTTTGTGTTTAATAGATATTATTATTATTTACATTCTATATTTTTTGAATTAAAAAATACATCAAAAATTAACAAAAAAACCATGTCAATTAGATATTTTATCGGCTACAAGTGAACAGCACAGTAAACCCCTAAAATGGCACAACATGTCACACATAATATTTGATAACAATCAAATATACCTATTTTCTTGCATATCGTGCATAAATGTAATATGAAGGAAACGATCAGTAATCTCGGTAGCTGCATTGCTTTTAATACCCATTGGGAAATTTTACACCAGTAAAGCGATAAATGTAAAAAAAATTGTGTGTAAGTTTACTCATAAGACTTAAGTTTTAGATTCTGAGCGGAGCGATAAATGAATTGATTTTACAATGATCTGCGTTTTCATATTTATTTATTTTTTTTTTTTGTGTCTGTCATCACGGTTTAGGGTAGTAAAAGTGTTTCGATTTTCTTCAACAGCTTATCTTCTGGTAGGAAAGTGAATCTAGTTAGCACATTCGGGAGGTCAAAATTTGAAATTCAAAATAGTTTTCATAAGCGACTGGAAAAACAAATAAAAAATTAAAGAAAAACGGGAATTTTTAAGCAAAACTAGTTTTGCAAAGGTTAGTTTAAATTTAAATAATATATGAACACAGTTATTTTTTACAGACCGCTCACAGCCCAAAATCGTTTTTCGTATACAATGATATCATATAACTAAATTCAAATTCAAATTTAATACCATCCATTACAGCGACCTTCTAGACACCTAATGTACAGCAGAGCGACATCCACTTACCCACTTTTTTTATTGGAATTAAAAAAAAAGTTAACGTCTGAAATTTAAATGAAGAATCGATGTTCACAAATTCACGCTTAAAAAAACGATTTAATTTTTTTTTAAATACTTCAAAAACGATCAACTAAAGATACTTGAAATGTTTACCACATATTATCATTTTCTATACACAGTTCAGTTTTTAAGGTGCTCTGAGACTTTTTGAGCTGTTTATAGACATTTGACATTTTTGATTTTCTTTTTGACAAAGTTCTTCATAAACATTTACTATTGGCATTTAAAAACAATTAAGACACAAATACGCTTATATATGCTACATTATTTTTTATATTCATTTTAACTTCAGTTTTGAAAACATTCATCAAAATCAGGAAATATTTGAAATTACTTGTTTGTTAGAACAAGTAAAAGTTGTTAAGTGCATTTAATTTTTATAGCTAAGTTCTAAAAACTTGATAAAAGTTCTTCATAAATAATTTATAATAGAGCCAATAAATCTAAAAATGTATACAGACACATTTTTTTCTACGGGTAATATTAAATTAAAATTTAGGAGAAATTAGGTATTAAACGAAAAATAACGGTATTCGTTTTTGCATACTACATTTACATTTTTTTGGCACCACAACATACCCTCGTTATGGGCGTAACACTGAACGTTATATTCGTTCTACAAAATAGTAATATTATAAAACAGTTATTTTTTTAAAAAATAATGAAATTAATTTTTTCCTCTGTACCTTATCAAAGCTCCTGCTATATGATATAGATAAAAGTTATTACTTATTAGTTATTAGTAATAATTAGGACTAGGATTTCTATGACTTAGCATATTTTTTGCATACAATCCTAATAAATCAGTATTCAATTAGTAGAACAATCTTTTTTCATAGTTTCACATATTTTAAAAATAAATGCATATAATACCATTGCACCTTATTGTATATCCCTTATGTATAATATTATTCTTCTATAACGTTAATAATTATCTACTCCATATTTACGAGTTTGCCGTTTACATGTAGAGTTGTATAGCCGTATTAAATCGTATTTTGAGTGCTTGTCGTTAGGTATGATATTGATACGTATTTTTCGTCTCGTCGTCATCCTACAATTAAAATAGTAGGTCTTACATTTACTTCGCTACGCTTTGTCCGGAGAGATGAATTCGCGATTTAAAAAAAAAAAAACTTTGAAATTTCATCAAAAATGTAATTAAAATAAACCATTTATTAAACTTTTACGGTTGATGGGAGGGGTAGGAACGAATGACAAAAATTGTTTTTCTTTGTAGGTATAGGTACCGAATGACGACTAAACACATTTGGTTTACATTAATTACAAGATAAATAATTTCCACAACACAATAAATATATCAGCACGGTTTTGTTTAAATTATAATCATATACAGCGAATTTCACACAAACTTTACATGGTATTAAATTACATTGTATTCTTACAGAAAATTAACTATAACTCCGCTGCACACTGCTCATCAAAATACGAAATCGGTAAACACAAACAAATAGTATAAGTGATATAAAGAACCTTGCAGTACCTACGAACAGTAAACTTCTAAATAATTTGAATTTAATATACATAATTAAACAATTAAATAAACAAAACGGAGGTTATAGTTTTTGTGATAAAAAACCATTATAACACAATATGGACGTCGTTATGTTTTCTGCAAAAAATTGACCTTTCCGTTTATCGCCAGTATGCCTATAGAAATATGATATATTTAAATTTTCCTACACTACATAATTTAGTTTTTAGATTTTTGTAACCCCTTATGGCTTATTATAAGAACTGATACTTATAACTTATAAGTATCATATCATAGACGATAGACCACTTGAATAATATTTTTACAAACACAACCTAATCTTTCAAAATATTTGTATTTTTTTTTTATTTTTTTATTACTGCTTCAACAATGAAATCATTATCCTGGAGAGAAACGGTTTACAATATATTATGTAATTTTTTTTTTTTATAGCCTCGATCTAAGGCCACTGGCTGCAACAATTATACAAGGTTTACATTATATTACATCTTAAATACATTAATATCAGTGTAGTAGTTAAAAATGATTAATTAAATTAGTCTTAATTATAAATGTCATTGTGTTATTTATGTTGTCTAGATGAAGGGCTTCAAAGAGGATGTTTGGTACTCCTGCTTCCCGTTTATCCGTTTCATAGGAGAGACATTCTGTTTTGATATATTTGATCGAGAGAGGTCTGCAACAACTGGCACATACAGGTGGGTCATCCTTCTTCATCAGGTATTGGTGGGTAAGGGATGTGTGTATGATTCGCATTCTGTTGATTGAAATTTCTATTCTTTTTTAGAAATGTCCGGTAGCGAGGGTCATACGAGGTTGGAGTTTTTAATTTCGTTTCGTTTTGATGAACCTTGTGTCCAAATATATGTTTAATATTATAATAATAAGTACATACATCTTAGTAATTATATACATTACAATGTGCTTAGCTAATAGGGATGATAATAGTTATAACTTTTAACTCATACTAAATATGAGAAATATTTATAAATATTTGTTGTATAGATTAATTTTTGTAGATTAAATATCTTCAAGATTTGTTGGTTGTGGAAGGATTTTTCTGTCTTCAGCTAAGTATAGACATTTGAGAAAGAGATGTTTTATAGATATAAATTATGTGCAGCAAAATTTACACAAAGGTCTTTGTATTTAAATATTATTGGTGGGTTTTTATTTTTATTAGATTTACCGAGAGCCAGGCCCGTAGCCAGACCAAATGTTCAGGAGGGGCAAAGCAAATTTTTGGGGGGGCAAATTTTATTATTTATATATAAATGTATTAAATATTAATGCAATTTTTAATTTATTTACATTGACGATTGACATTTCAGATTAACACAATTATAATTTTCCATCTAAATATCTAATATATATTTATAATAGAATATTTTGGGAATTTACAATGAAACATTTATTTTAAAGTTACAAAACGAATAATACTAAATAATAAAAATAAAACTTATATTGAAGTTAACATAGATAATTATAATATTCATAAAATTCACTGATGTTACGTGGTTAAATGTTGAACATTTTAATATTAATTAATACAGCTTCAATTTTCTATTCTTCTGATTGTTGAAGTTCGTTAATAATAGGTCCATGCTTAAGTCCATATTTAGGTGTTCTATAATAAAATGTCAATTGATAGGAAAGTATTGAGCTAATATAACGATAACAATCAATTTGCCAACAGTCGTCGTGACACGTCATTATCGTCGTCATGGCCCGGAATTTCCGAAATAAATACTACAATACGGCTAAAAAAAACTTTTTTGATCTATTTTATTACCGATGAAAATGTTATAAGCAATAAAATACATACCTACCTAAGAGTCTTTCTAATAATTTTTAGGGGGGCAATGCCTGGGTTTAGGGGGGGCAACGCCCCCCCCCCCGTGATTACGGGCCTGCCGAGAACAGGTATAAATAACGCATGCTTTTAAAAGACATAATTATATACTTATCAAATATTATAATATTGTATCCGATAAGTCATTTCTTATCTAAAATTTTCTTTAAAATCTAATACATTTCAAATTAAAAAAAGTTGGTAAGTAGATGTCACTTTGCTGTACATTAGGTGTCTAGGAGGTTGCTGTAATGGACAGTATTAAATTTACATCATATGACATTGTATACGAAAAACGATTCTGAGCAGAGACGGTATGACAGTCTAGGATATTTTATATTGTTATTACTTATTATTAATATGATAGCTGGTAAGTTGAACTAATATTATTTTTAAATCATCAGCAATGCTGGAAAAATATTTAATATACTTATGTAAAATTGGGCTGTTTTAGAATCGAATTACAACAAAACGATACACGATAATATCTGTGTTTATATGCAATTTTGTCCAAATTTTAACTTAAAATATCTGAAAAAATAACTGTATTCATATATTTTTTAGATTTTTTAGTTACACAAAAAATTGCTGAAGTTAAACCTTGTTTTAAATTTTCAATTTTTAGCTATAAAAATTAAAAATGTTATACATTTTTAACTACGAAATCATTTTCAATTTTCAATTTGATAAATATTTGTCAACATTTGAACTTAAATGCTAATATAAAAATCGTGCCTATATATTTTTAATGTTTTTCAACTGCTATTGTAACAATTTATCAAGAATTTTGTAATACATTTCATACTTTTTAACTCAGCCAATAAAATTTAATTGACATTTGTGAAAAAAAAGTTTAAAAAATATATATGAACTAAATATAATTTGCTAAATTTCGTGATGATTTTTACGAATTTTGTCAACATTTTATGTTTAAACGCTCATAAAAAATTATTTTGGATTTATGCTCAACTTTTTTTTTGAATTTCCATTAAGAACAGCTTATGATGAACCTTGAATACATTTACAAGTTTTTTGACCGAGCAAACATTTTTTTATCGACTTAAGTTTAAAAAAAACAAATAATAATCAAAAATGTCAGGTGCCTATAAATAGTTCAACACAAATCAAAATATTTTTAAAATTGTATAGACAATTTTAACACAAATATTCAGCGAAAATGTCATGTATCTACGGTCATTTTTGTTAGAGTTACTCAAAAAACTAAAATCGATTTTTTCGAAAACTATAGTTTTGCGTAAAAATTCCTATTTTTGATTTATTTTTTGTTTGTTTTTCCTGACGGTTTTGTAAACTATTGGAAATTTTAATTTTGTCCTCCCGAATGCACCATGTTTTACAGTTCAATCCCAAGTATGGAATTAAATTTATATGGTGGTTGAATCCCGTCATACAAAACAGCTACCTAGTTGATATTGGATTTCACTTTTGTTATCTTATTTACATAATTTATTACTAGTAATATAGTAAAAGGTTGAATTAAATGTTCATTACCAATCAATATTCAGTTGTATCGTTAATCATTGGTATTCAGTAACGGATATTTGACAATAACAATACACAGGTGCTTTTATTTTTAAAAAATCAACTTTACCTTGCTTAATTAACATTTCTTAAAACCACCAGGTGGATAATGATTTCTTATTCTAATTAAGGTAAGCAGAGACGTATTGTGAAAAATAATGTAATGTCCTTTTGACAATTAAAATGCATATCGTGTAATTAACATCACATAAATAACTTGCAGCAGGCTAATATGACTAGGTAACTAATTAAGATCATCATAAAAGTATTGTTAAATAAAATAAAATAAATAAAATAAGATGTATAATGTGTATGAAGTAGTTATTCATTTCATGTTCAAGTATCAGCTGTTTTGTTTCATGATCATAATCTGTAGAAGTATTATTGGTGTATGTTGGTTGGTATTCTTTAAATTATAAACATCCAATATAAAAATTGTAGTAGAACATAAATAATAAGAACAATGCACAAATGATGCAACCAAAATAATCTAAAAAATATAAAAGACAATAAATACCTGTATGATAAATAACAAGTAAACAAAGTAACATATTAATTAAGTCATAACTATGGTGTGGATTTGTATGTATTTACCTACATATTTGTCGCGAATGATAATATTCGAATGATTCCTTATTATAGAAATACGTTACAGGACTTTCTGATAATTTTAAGCTATGGTTGATATTACATATTTTCACATATTTAATCTTAATTGCATATTTTTATATATTTTACTCGTGTTAAATATTGAGCTATTTACAAAATTAATAATGTACCACCGTTTTATATTATGTGTTATCTTCTCCAGGTTAAATTAGATCAGAATTTCCCGAAGTTGATTTTTTGATATCAACTAAAAAAAAATTTCCTTAAAGCACCCTGTCATGTAAAAATGTATTTAAAGAAAATTACCCCCAAACACATCTTCCCCCTGGTGATAACTCACTTGGGTACTTGGTTACATGCTGCTGCACATTGTTGCGAACATTTTAGTGTCATTGAAAATGTGATTTCCAAAATTGAAATAGATGTTGTTTCAGTATCCTAACTCCAATGAATAAATACTTAATTTGAATGTATTCCTAATTAATGTTAATAAAATAGCAATAATATGTAGTGTTGTATAATTTATATTTACCTACTTATTTAATACACTAATTTTATAAATTTTTTTTTCAAGAATAAAAACATTTTTTTTTTACATATCTTGTATTTTTAATTACATATTTGGATAAAATTAAATACATATATATGTACATATTTTTGAATTTTGAATACATACAAATCAGCACCCTAGTCATAACGCACTACACTTAATTGAATACTGTTCCAATTTAAATGTTCACGAACTTAAACCCAAACCATACCTATAGCTTCCATTAAACTAGATTTTATTTCAAAAATTTTTTTTCCACTTTAATATGTAATTCAAATTTAAAATAACTGTATTTGCATTCAAAATGTTCTTTTAACTTTGAAAGAATAATAAGTTTAGGTATTGATTTTTAATGGGCGAGATTAAATCAAACATGACATATTGTTAGTTGGAAATAAATAATAAATAATTGAAAGTTATAACCAAATTTTAATTCAAACATTTTAATATTATTTTCTGAAACAATTTAAACTATTCGATTATAATTTTTACTTAAAATGAACTGAATTTGAGATTTCAAAGTTCAAACAGTTTGAGAATAATTATTAATTTCTAAATGAAACAATAAAAATGACTTTACTTTCGATTTTTTGATACCGCCTTTTCTGTATTACTTAAGTCTTCGTGGAGTATATGTTTCCTGATCCCAAAATAATAGATTTCTATATAGGATTTCCAGTCGAATTCTTCAAAGCTGAACCAAAACGTGTTACGATCTTCTTTACTTAGTGAAGACCACAGTTCTACAGTGTTTTTATTGTCAAATAACCACTGTCTAGTAGTAAATTCACGAAGCAAATCCAAGGCATTTTCTGTTTTGGAATACGTTTTCAGCATTCTAAATAAGTATAAAAATGTGTTTTAAGCTTAAAATTAGTGCTTAACGTTCGTTATTATAGACATAATTCTAAAACCAGAGTGTAAAACAAGCTATACTGCAATTTTAAATTACATTGATTTGAATTCCCGTCTAAACCTATACAAATTATATTAAAACAATGAATCTACCTACTTTCACAGTTGTTCAGAACTTTTTTTCTATAAGTATAGAATAGTATAATTAAACATATTCATAATCATATTTAAATATTACATTGTAATTATTATAACAACAATTTTTAATTTTGACATAATAACCCAAGATGACAAAAACATTTTTTTAATAAAACGGAATATCGTAATTACCTATTGTTAATTTGTATTTAGTACATTATACATTTATACCTCAATTTATCTAAAACTACAGAATAATTGACTGAGAGTACATTTTTAAAATTATATAATCAATAATAATACTTATAAGCGCAACAAAATAATATCTAAAAACTTACTTGGGTGATTTACCACATACAACTAATGACATATCCATGAATACAGCCGGTATCTTATGTAGCCAAAACCTCAGAATTTTGACTACTAGCGAATTTGTATGGAAAATATAAAATATATACCATATCGATCGCAACGGTGGAATGTCGAAATAATGGTCATGAGTTTCTTTAATAAATCTACCCCATGTCAACGGGCTCTCAACACTAGAAACGTAATTATATATTTTTGGTACCATATTCGTTTGATTGGAATGTCGATGTCTAAAAAGATAAAAATCATAATTTTTTGGTGAAAATTGTAAGGGGAAAAAACATACCTGTTAACTGTATCCCACATAACACTAATCAGTGCGTTCACAGTATAATCAACTGGAATAATATCAGCTGTTTTATTTCTGTCAAGCTGTATCGTTCTTAAAAATCCAGCTATGACTCCGGTAACTATTCCAGATGGCCCATTTATATTATCCAACCAACCGGGATTAGGTTCTAACCTTGTGCATCCAACTGTAACGTACGATTCTTTTAGATTCTGAGCAGATCATTAAATGTATTGATTTTACAATCAGTGTTTTTTTTTTGTGTCTGTCATCAAATTTTGGGGCAGTTCGATTTTAATTCAAGTTCAAAATTTTCTGATAGAAACTAGTTGGTACTTTGGGGGATCAAAAGAGACAAATTACCAATAGTTTTCAAAAGCGGCAGGGTAAACAAAAATCATTTATCACAAGAAGTAACTTTACTTCTTTGACGAGTGAATGAGAAGAAAATTATTTTATATAAAATCAACTACGCATATTTTATGGCTTATACATTTCGATAACATTCAATGAAAAAAAAACATTGTAAAATCAATACTGTCAATGGTGCGCTCAGAATCTAAAGTAGTTCTTCTGAACAAAAGTACTACCAAGGTTAAAAGGTACTACAAGGTTTGGTTTAAAAGTACTACAAACTTATGAATATTCATTAATCACTCAAAAGCTGAGTTATTCAAAACACCTAGGTAGTTCTGAAACGAATTATATTATATATATGTATATGCTAACAGATTCGTCACTGCTTTTCATAATCTAAATAGAAACCAGCCTCGAAAATTTTGAATGTATTATATTAATACTATATTATATAATCGAATAACATATGTGATACATTAATATTATGCCAAACTAATAACATGGTTCACTATTATAAAAACATATACAAATAAAAAATTTCATTTTAACATTCATATACTTTAATTTTAATCCAATTTTATGTTTTCGAATAAACTTACTAATTGATGGACGAAATATTGAAATCGGCAAATGATTTTCATTTCTCGATATCAAATTTTCTGCAATCGCTTTAGTAAACGTATATGTATTGGGCCAATTTTCTAAAATGCTATATTTACAAATGAAAAAAAAGTCAAGAACTAAAAATATGATTCACTATTTACAATTATTATATAATTTACTTTGGACATGCCATTTCGTCTTTGGACATATTTTTTAGTTCCTTGGCCGTAATTGGAGTGGGATAGAATTCTTCCTTAATTACATTCCTCGGACAATGTGAATAAGCGGTCGATACGTGTACAAAACCCTGCAACAATAATTATAATTAATTCACATGGGATTCCTCCCATGTTGGTATATCTGTAAACGAAAAAGCAGTCTTAGTAGCAACTAGCAATTGAAATTAAGCCTCATTTCAACATTCCATGTAAATAAACCTAACCACATCCTCAGAAAGGTAAAATCCTACAAAAGTAGAAAATCTTCTACATAGGCATAGTGTTAACAACTATTTTTGTTAGGTAAAAAGGTCATCGTAGAAGGTTATTCTATTTTTTATTTTTAGGTAAATTTTTTTTTTTAATTAGCTTCTATTTATAATAAATTATAGCTTAATAATACGTAAAAATGCAATTTATATAATAATTTACATTTGGCCCCTCAAAGACACTGAATATTGTCAACTACAAAACAAAGGAAACATGGTAGAAAATTGGGATAAAGTACCTACTACTTTCAAACAATAATTAATTCAATGATAAGAGAGCGATAAATGATAACCAATATTGGGTATCATTCAATAAGAGTATAATATTAATGAGACCCAAATGTAGTTTTCATGGCGATGGAACTAGAACCAAATTTTTTGACTTCAGAAAATACTATACGAACCCACATAGCGGTAAACCTATTAAGGAGATCGGTGGTTATGGACTGTTTTTAAGGAGTTTAAAATAGGAAATTTTTAAATTCCTTACATGCGGGTCTTGTAAATATGTGCGTAGTAAGTGATGATTGGTGTGTGTGTGACTGCGTGTAAAAAAAGGCTGCATACGAACTGAGTCCCAGTATAACCTTTTATGACGAATTGAGTCCCGGGTTGTTTTAGGGTATAAACCAATTGAGTCCAGTGAAATTGTAGGTATAATACTAATTGAGTCCATGTTTTAATACTAACTGAGTCCCGTTAAAATATTATAATATAAAATAATTATTATATTAATATTTTAATTAATATATAACCAATATATTATATTTTTTCGTTTGATACAATATATATTGATGGGACTTTTAAAAGCTGCCCAATACAGTTTACTCAACTGTTAACTATCAACGGAATGAAAATAATAACTACATACCATTGGTATTTTGTTTACTTCTGGACAAAGTTTCAATAATATAGTATGTATATATAGGTATAACCGTGTGGAGCGGCTTTTGACGCGCGGCATAATTTTCGCTGTGTGTGGATAGTCATTTTATATTTTACTCAAAATAATCCTCGGACTCAATTCGTATACAATTAGTTTCCTAACCCCGGACTCAATTAGTATATGTCTCGTTTGTACCCGGGACTCAATTAGTATATTAATTTTTTCCGTTCAGGTACAGGGACTCAATTAATACACAGTGAAAAAAATAGCGAAGCGTTCCCGCACCCGCATATACAAGTCATCTACTCGGCGTTGCACTAGTGAACGGGGCTATTGTAAATTCCGCCCGAAATGAACAGGTAAAAACAAGGTCTATGGTAAATTCCGCCCGGAAAAATATCCAAGTAAAAAAGGTACATGTAAATTCAAAAAAAATATATAGGTACAAAGAAAATAGTTCCACCCGAAAAATAAATATTTTTAAACTAAGCGTTCCGTGACAGTACGACGACGTGACCGTACTTTTCGCGACGCGGTGCGTGTCATAACTTATACGTCTTATAGTATTGGGAAGTCACAAAATGTTCGAACATGAACAAAAAATAAATAGTATGGAAGTGATATTTTGACTCGTATTTATTATTATAATTATTACTATTTTAACAATTTTTAACAATTTTATATGCTACACAATATACACGACTTATAATATGTGCTAATTATTGATGATGATTTTATTTTGACTCGTATTTATTATAATAATTTTTACTATTTTAGGATTTTTAATACTTATATATATATTGTGCTAATTACTGATTATGATTTAATTTTACTATAATATTATAATTGTTATATTTACTTTTAGAATTATTACTATTCTTACGATTATACATGATTTATGTTGTAATTATTGACTTAATATGTGAAATATATATTTATTTAAATACCCACTTCTAAATTATAATGTTTAATCTATGTTATGTCAGTATTAATATGATTAATAAGACACATTCAGAAATTTGTTTATTAACAGTAATACATTTTTCGGGCGGAATTTACATGTATGTTTCTTTACCTGTATTTTTTTCGGGCGGAATTTGCATGTACCTTATTTTACCTGTAGTTCATTTTGGCGAAATTTACCATTTTCGGGTGGAATATACATGCGCCCGAATTTACATGCACCCAGTGAACGGTAAAAAATGTACAATCATTTGTACCTATGCACTTTTTGTCCATCCTACCGATCGACCTAGTAATGCTACAATACTTTAGAAAATCGATCCGAATTCATTATATGATGTCTACTTGAGATCGGTCAGTCCACATTTTAAGATTTCTAAATTAAATTCCGAATAATCAACTTTTAAAAATTCCAAAGTTTCAAAATATTCAAACTAAATTTATTGTTGTCGGGGTATGAAATTGGGAAAAGTTGACTGACCGATCTCAAGTAAACATAATAACGAATTCATATCAGTTCTAAGAAGTATTATCGTATAACTAGGTCGATAAGTATTATGGACAAAAGATTGGTATGTTTGGGTTAAAATAACTGTCCTCCGCCGATCCAATTAAGAAATATAAAACCTTCAATTTAAAAATGTAAACGTTCATTTATTAGTTATTTTAAAAAGAAAATATTAAATGATTAATATTACTTCATCTTTTCACGAGTAAGTTCGAATAGGATATACGAAAAATTAAACCATTGCTCTCATCAAAGATTTGTATCTAATATAATGACATGGAAGTTCTTGAGATCTAACACTTCGTGAACAAATGCTCGAAATAAAAATAAAAAATGTTGACGAAACACACAAAAGCAATATATTTAGTTTTCCTTAATATAATATGAATAATATGAATCGTTAAAAATGTCATTGTATTTAACTTACATCCTATTATACCTATCGGCTGTATCTAACCTAAAAAATTTCTAATAACCATAGCTATTGAATCCTTAACGTATGAAAATTGCAACGTATGTATTATTTTACACTAACACATACATGTATCAATTATATAACATCATCATTACTATATTATATACACCTACTTTATCGATGACTGCACAATTATTTGGATTTAATGAACAAGAACTGTTTTTGTCCGTTAAACATCGCAATAGTATATATATATATTATTTACCTTAAGATTATTCATCATAGTTGCAAGTTTTACAATATTATCTGTGCCTTGTATGTTTATTTTTGTTGCTATCTGAAGAGTTTCGTTGAATTTGATTGTTGCAGCACAGTGAAAAACGAAATTCACATTTTCCATCAACCAATCACGATCTTTTGATGATAAACCTAGCGAAGGTTGTTCCAAATCTCCATCAATCATTTTTATCTTAGTCACGAAGTCGGGCTTTTCGATTCGAAGGCGGTCAAACATCTTAAAAATATGTGAAACATAATATTATGAATAGATGACCAACAATAAATTTACTTGTATTGCAATAAAAGTGTATTTCATTATCAGGTACTGATTTAGCCTTATTAAAAGTGGTAGGTATAATTGTATTTTTTGTTTGTGAACACTTAGCGATGTTTATACACTGACTCGAAAAATATAATATAATTTTAAAAAAAATTGAAAGTTCAAATGTTGACAAAATTGGATACTACAACAAAAATAATCATTTTTCCTCGTACAATATTAGTTATTCAATTATAATATAAAAATATTAATTTTTAATGTTTGAAACTGTTTGCTATTACGTATATATTATCATTAATTAATTTTTTATAAGCAATGGATTTTTATTAAAATGTATATAACACAGAATATGTTATACGAGATCTGAAGTATGAGATAATACTATATTATATTTAATGTTGTATTCAATATTTTAAAGTTTTCTTTATTTTTTTTAATAATTATTATATATATATATATCATATACAATTAAATCAAAGATGCCAACAACAAGAATAGAAACTAATAAAAAAAAACAACAAATTGATCAATGTTCATCAAGAATCAACCAACCTCCATTCCTCCCATGGTCCCATGGGTGCACCACGTGTCTCAGACATCAAATCATAATGATCAGATTATGAACTGGTCTCACCTTATACACTCACAAACATCTAATGAACAAAAAGTAACAGAATGCACCTCATGTGATATCACAACTACTGTTAAACTAATATTAACCGTATGCCTCCAAACAAAATACTCCAGAAACAAACTAATGCTCCCCTACAATCTATGCGAACTACTATTACCCAACACAAAAAAAAAATCTACTCTTCTGAAACTCCTCAAATAGATAAACCCATTTCAGAAATCATAACAAGAACACATAGATTATATCACATGTATTTTCAATAACATAAACCTCAATGTATCATTCTAAGTTTACAACTTTAATAGGTATTTATGTAGTGTAGAAATTGTAAAATGTAAAATGTAATGTGTTATGTGTTTGTTCAGAAACGCCAATAGTAGTTGAGGCTTATTTTTAAATAAAAAAAATAATTAAATAAAATCAATTAAAAGCATAAGATATTAGTTATTTTATTGTTATTTAAAATATAAATCTTAAATACTTGAAACTGTTCACGATTACGCATATACCTATTATCGTTAATAATTTTTTAACAAACAATGAATTTTTATTAAAATGTATATTAAATAGAACATGTTATATGAAGATCTGACATAAAAAATAATACTACATTATATTCAATGTTATATTCAATATTTCAATATTTGAATGTTTTATTTTTTATTTTTTAATAATTTTTACATATTATCTATTATCACGAAAAAAATTATTATTCCGAAATACGATTAACTATTGAGGTTTTTTGATAATAAGGCTCGGTACCTAAATAAATTTTAGTTTAACACATGCATTTTATGTTTTTTCTAGGAGTTTAGGTACACATTTTTTTTACTGATTTTTTTCTAACCGAAATCACGTAACTACAGTACTGTCACCTAACAACTAAAAAAAATTTAGAAATACTCTACAAAAGCTTAATATAAGATCTCGCAAGTGAAGAAGTATGTATTTAAAAATAAACAAATTCTACTCGATTAGGCTTGCTAGATTCACAAATCGCAAGGTAGTAAAAAACTAAAAACACGGTAGTGTACGCGCGAGTATGGCCAAAATCACAAGCACTAACATAAAACATGATTGCGTCACATTGAGGTGAGATAGGTACTTTGAAACAAACAATAATATAATGAAATATATGGTTTTAGGTAATTTTAGTAATTTTATCAATCATATCTCTATGACGCTATGGTCATTATTCATTATAAATTTAGTTTTACTTATAACAAATTGCATGAAAAATAATAATTATACTAAATGTTTAGTAATTGTTAATCCAGCATTAGTGTTTTAATATATCGGATAATAAGAATTTATGTCACTTTTTTAATCTAAAACTTTATTACAACAATAATTGTTCGATAGGAACGATTAACGACAATATTTTTTTTTTCTGATTAATCCACAATATTATAACTAAAATCAATTACTAACATCGTATATATAATGTGTAATATTAAAATAGCTGTTGAAAAAATTAACTCACAGATTCATTGTAGATATCTGCAACCCTTTGACTTGAATCGATTCCTTTTTTACTTCTAACAAGAAGTGCAATTTTTTTTATTGAACATGATCTGAGTAATTTTTCTGTGAGTATTTTTCCCAAAAACCCTGTACTTCCAGTAACAAAAACAGTCCCATCTCTAAACGATTCAGCTATGCTTGTTTCCATATTCTTTAGTTTTTTTGTAATACATGTATGTACTTCTAAGAAGTGTAGTCTGGTGAATTTGAACTTGAACTGGAATGAAAACCAGTACACTGAGAACATTACATGTAGCAACATTGGTCGTACATATTATCATTATTATTTTCTTTTTTAAAAAATAATCTTGTAATTTGGTGGGAGTAATTCACACTTAGTGCAGAGGTAAACGTCATCCAACTTATCCGATTCACTGGCATAAAAAAAGCTTATACAAACGTAGTGTGAATCGAAACATGGAAGAGGATATTAGGAATCCCGATGCATTTTTTTAAAACTAATCTATCGCTAGTTCAAACCAGAAAACCCTAATTTAATTAATATTCTTTGTGAATTAATTTTTCTACTTTTTTTCTTTTAAATAAATTTAATTTGCGTATAAATGTCAATACAAATTTAATAATAATAATAATAATGATAAAATAAAACCACTGGTGATGCAAAGCTTGACAGATTGTGGCGTAGTTTCATTGCATCCTAAATATTAGTCATCTCATATATAAATAGGTAAATGGAGAAAACGCAATATTTATCTATATTATTTTTGCTAGACCAAATAGTTTGAAAAAATCATTTTTATTTTGTTTTTAAATCAGTAACAGAGTAAGTTAATTTTTTGTTTTCCAATAAAACAGCATTTTTGCATTTATAATATTAGTAGCTGTCCTTACGGAGTTTCTCGTGCCAAATTTTTTATTTATTTTTTTAACATATATTTGTTTTTAGATTCTGATAGGAGCGATGAATGTATTGATTTTACAATGATATGTGTTTTATATTTATTTTATGTATTAAAAACAAGTTTTCGAAAAAATCTATTTTGGTGTTTAGTGTATCTCAAGAAAAAATTACAGTAAATACATAACATTTTTACTTAATGTTTGTATTAGCATATTCTATACACCATAATATTTTCAAAATATTTTGACAAGTGTAGATTTATTTATAGGCATATTAAATTTTCAATTATTATTTGTTTTTTTTAAACTCGAGTCGATAAAAAAATGTTCACTCGATCAAAAAACTTATAAACTTAATACAAAGTTTCTTGTAAGTTGTTATTAGTGGAATTTAAAAAAAAGTTGAACGTAAATCTACAGTAGTTTTTTATGAGCATTTTGACAAAATTCATAAAAACTTTTCTATTTAAATCTAAGATTTAAAAATTTAATACAATATTTCTTACAAGTTTATCTACTTTTATCAAAAAAAAATAATTCTACTAAAAAGTCAAGTTACATTTTTATGAGCGTTAAAAGTTGAAATTTTTGCATTGGATATTCATTCGATTTTTCTTGTAACGAATTTCTTATTTTGTTGTATTAAAAACGAATTGCTATAGAAACTTGAAATTTACACTAAATGTTTATTTTATTAATTAATATACTTGATAAAATGTTTAAAATATTTTGACTCGTTACAAGCTGTTGACGGACATTTTCATTTTTCTTTTTTTTTTTATATAAATGTCAATAAAATTTTATTGGTTGGGTAAAAAAGCATGACAATTTAAAATAAGATACAATTCAATTTGTATTGCTAAGGATAGAACATTTAAGACAAGGTTCAACTTAAGTGGCAACCAAAAAATTTAAAATATATATTAATACAGTTATTTTTTACAGACATTTTAAGTTCAAATTTGGACAAAATTAGATATTAACACAAAGGAGAAAGTTTATCATTTTGTTGTAATTAAATTCCAAAACAGCCCAGTCTTACATCGTTATATTTAATATTTTTCCAGCATCACTGATGATTTAAAAATAATATTAGTTCAACTTACCGGCTACCATATTAATAATAAGTAATAACAATATAAAATATTCTAAGCTGACGTACCGTCTCCACTCAGAATCGTTTTTAGTATACAATGATTTGATATCAATAGCAACCTTATAATTAAAGAAAAACATTTTTCAAAAATCATGTCTGATCTATCTTTTAGCTACCGATAGGAGTTGACAAATTAAGCTATAAATACCCTCCAAGTATCATTTAATCTAATGACATAACTCATATTGAAAGTAATCTAGTAGTTTGTTATTCTATTAACTACAGACAGACAAATATCCTTGTATATATTATATAATCGAATTTATCCCGACTGACAGACCAACGAAGAGCTTAAACGATATGTTTACAAATATATAGAGTGACCAAAATATCGCAATGAAAATATTGCGAAACCAACATATCATAAAGGAATAATACCTCCGTACATTATTATCAAGACTGTATATTGCGTTTAACCGTACGCTATGTTATCGTAACCATCTTTTACCTAACAATGCATTAGAGTATGATTCTGATTTTTTATTTTATAATTCGTAAATTGTAATATTTTGTGACTGATGCTGACTGAATACTTTAACAGTTTAAGTAGTTTCACTGTTCTCGTCCTGTATTTTTACATGAAATAATTTTTTTTTTTAAATGTTTTAAAAACTTAAAAATACAAAACTATATTAATACACAACGGTTTCATTTTTGAGGAAGGTAATACTGATTTTAAGGTAAGAAAAATAATATTACTGTTTCAAACTTTAAACCTAACATTGTATGTTTATATATTTACCCCTTTTTTATTTAAGTGAATCGCATTTGAGTTTTGTATATTATATCTATAATGTTTTAATTATACATTTTAATTGAACTATTGAATATATAAGACCATATATCTTTTTCGAACAGTATCCAAAAACAACTATTTTTTATTAAAATAAGTGTGATTTTTTTTAAAAATATAATTCAAAGACGATCAACCGAAGTTACTCGAACCTACTTGAATTATTCACCAAGTATTTGTATTATAATTTTGTATACATGATAAAATTTTAAAAATACGTTGACATTTATTGAACTATTTATGGACATTTGAGATTTTTCATATTGTTTTTAATTTCTATAAATACTTCTCAATTTAAAATTTTTCGTTTGGTTAAAAAAAATTGAGTCTTTGATGCAATATCTCACATACATTGTTCTTATTATAGCTATATAAAATACATAAAATACCTACAACTATTTTTTTCCATGAACGTTTGAAATTCGTCATATTATGATAATGTTGTAACAATTTTCTAAAAAAAAAAATGTAGACAATTTTCAACTGTAATGGTTTAAAAACAAATAATTAAACTTTAATACATTTAATTTATTTCAAGTAAAACTATCAATAAATTGACTACATTTCACATGAACGTAGTTAATAAACTAGGGCACCAAATTGATATTTTGACTATCAACATTATCTGTAAAAAAGCGGTACCAGAGTCCACAAAAAAAAATATTTGATGCCGGTATTTATAAAAATTGAAGCTAATTTTAATGTTGGCGCTACTGGGTGCTTCAGAATTTTTAAATTGTGATTAAAAAAAAACAAGTTATAAGAACTCACTCTGCGAGTGTGTAAATTCATGAGTTTTAAACGTATTTTGATACAACGCAATCAACTTAAATTCAAAATAAAATTTAAACAAAAATCGGTAACTCTAATATTTTACTAGTATATTTTAGCTAGTATGAATCTTTGAAAAAAAAATCAAAAAAAAATTCTTTATATTTTTTTTAAATGTTAAATTATTGCAGCTAGGGGTATATGAAATTATTTGGTGAAAATCCAATATGAAAAAAATTATTCAAGAGATATTAAGAAATGTAGAATAGCCGCGTGACGTCATTGGGCCATACTTGTCGTAATTGCCTATCTTATACGCGTAAAAAGGAAGCAAAGTTCCTTGCTTCACACAATGATTTACCAACCTACACATTTTATTTTTGAAATTTAATTTTCTTATAAACGTGTGGTCTTATGTGTTTAAAACGATACAAGTACCAGAATTTTAATACGACTTTTAGTTTTTCAAATATTAAAAATCTTAAAAGAGACATTTTTGTTAAACGGCGAGTCATGGCGTGCGGCAATCGAACAACGATTCCGCCGACCGCCACTCGTGATTGCAAAACAATAAATTCATTTACCAATTATAATTTTATATTAGTAATTTTGATTACCTTTGTGCTTGTATAAATAAATTTACAAAGTTATGTTAAACACATGATTACATCTTTGTTTGAGGTCCATGTCCCGATGATTTGAAACCTATACCAATCGTTTGTACCTGTTTGTACCTCAAGTAAAATCGTGCCCAATTGAATAAAAAAAGCTTTGTTGAATAAAAAACTAATTTGAATAAAAAATCTAAATTGGAATTTAGAATAATTTGAAAAATTTGAGGTACAAACAAAGAGTGGGTATAAACTCTACCGATGGTAAACTCTCCTTGGTCTACGATACTTCAGTACTACGAAGGTAGGGAACATGAGGCGTTATTCATAATACGCAGTTGGTAAGGTTGGAAAATTCAGTTGAGCCATTATAGTCAAAATCGTTTTAAATATTTAAATTAAAAATATGTTAACTTTAATAAAATATTTAAATTACAAGTAGTGCACAGTAATGCAATTGATAATACGTATATATTTAAAATTATATTCACAATCTGTTGACCCAGGAAAGTTTACACATTGCCTTCAGGTAAACATAATATTGACCCTTGGGAGCTTACAATCGACAGATTTTACTAGTTTTAAAAATCGGAAGAGTTTACCATCACCCCAAACAACTACAAACGATTGGTATGCGCTTAAACTAGAAATTCAAAGGCGGGGATGCCAGCGTTTCCTCAACACTCCCACCCTAAAAATGTGGAATAACTGGACAACCGTTGAGGTACAAACAGGTACAAAGAGGTACAAACGACTGGTATAGGTTTCGAATCAAAATTTGGAGGTGGGGGTGCTGGGGACATGGACAAATAAAGATTTAATCATGTGCTTAACATTACTTTGTATATTTTATTTATACAAGTATAAAGGTAATCAAAATTACAAATATAAAATTATAATTGGTAATTTTACTTAGGGGGGCTGGGGAAATGTACGTAGGAGGTTGACTAAATAGCCTTACAAAAAATAAATATATTGTACTTTTTAAACTTTTTATTATGGTTCGATTATTTGTACTTAAGAGTTAAAACAGTCATAGTAAAAAATATTTTCTATGTATTTTGATG